GCTATGTTTGAGGAAAACACTGAAGTGTGTGCTTTTGGATGTATGTTTAATCGTTTACCGTTCATGGGAAAAAAAATATGCATAGAGATGGATGAAGGTAGAGGAGAATGGACAATGTATGTATCGAACTTTTTTTAGTTATTGATGTTTCATTGATGTCAATGCATCAACGAGGGAAAAAATATGTATTAAACTTTTGTTGAATGATATACTATTATTGTTGAATTTCTTTTACTTAATTAGTATGGTTCAGAGATTGTTGAATGTTTAAATTTATTTATGAATTGTGATAATTGTTGTTTGTTGAGGAATATTATGAAGAATATCATTGCATTTTTTTATTCTTTAATTGGTAATAAATTAATTACAAAATAAAAATATTTATAAAAATATATTTATAAACAAAAATCTGACAGTTTTAAGATTATCAAAGATTGAAAATTATTATTAATAAAATTTGATTATTATTATTATTAAATTTTTTTTTTTTTTTTTGGTTAAAATCTTTTGACAGTTCAAAAACTATCAAGGATTTGTTAAAATTAGGTTAAATCCTTGACGGGTAATAACTGTCAAGATCTTTCAAGAAATTTTTGATAGTTCAAAAATGGTCACCACCTTTTCTTGACATTGGCTTCAATGACGAGTGAAAAACTGTCAAGAAACCCCTTTCTTGACAGTTATTACCCGTCAAGAATGGGGATTTTTCTAATAGTGTGTATTCTTTAACAATTTTAATATGAAGATTAATTAACTTTTGTTAATTTCTTTTTTAGGTAATAGTTGTTGTACGAATGAATAATTGTTTCCTAACAATCTTAACATAAAGATCCATTAAATTTTATTATGTTTATTTTCAAGGAAATGTTCATGTACTTTACTAAGATCAAATCGAGGATGATCCTATTATCAGTCAAACTGTGAGTACGTGTCATATCTATATTAGTAGAATAGTTCATTTGTGTTGAATATGTTTTCTGTAAAAACATTCGTGCATTTTAATTTGTTATATAAATGATTAATTGTTTATGCCATGTTGATGCGCAAGTATATATGTTAAATTAATTAATTTTGGCTGATTCTGTTTTCCAATTGATAGGTGCTATTTGAAATATTTCTTATCAGTCCTAATGTGATAATCCCTTAAATTTGGGTCAAGTAAACCATTCATTTTATCATCACACGTATTTTTGTTTCCATTGAGAAATCAATAGTAAATTGATCATAACTTGCTCAATAAAACTCCAATTGATGGGAGGATTGAATCTCTAGAAACTAGACAGATAATGCTTTAATTTAATATATTACATGCTTAATTTGGATAACTGTAGCCTCACTATCGAACTATTCCTTTCATCATCACATACAATTTGATTCCACTGATCAATCAGTAGTAAATTGACCATAACTTGCTCAATAAAAATTTAATTGATGAAAGGTTTGTATCTTTAGAAACTAGACAGACAGGGCTTTAAATTGATATATTATACACTTAATTTGAAAAACTGTAGCCCCACTGCTGAACCATTCCTTTTATCATCACACACATTTTGGTTTTTCCTGTTTCTCGATTTCCACTAAACAGTTAGTAATAAATTGACCATAACTTATTCAATAAAAATCCAATTGATGAGCGGTTTAAATCTCTGAAAACTAAAAAGATAGATCTTTAATTTGATATATTATATGATGAATTTAGATAACTATAGACCTATGGCCGAACTATTCACTTTATCATTACACACATATAACCAATTCAATTTTAGTGATAACAAAGAAAAACAAATATTGATATGTAGTTTTAATTATATTTATTCTATCTCTTTTTATATTTTTTTATGTTACATACACATATCGAAAATAGGTTGTTGCTGAATATAACAAATTTTATTTATATCACAAATATCATCTGATGTTTGTTGCCGAACCATGTAGCTTTAGTAAACAATTTATAATATGCCGAACCATTATTATTATCCTTAAAGAAAAACAAATATTTATATGCAGTTTTAATTGTAATTGTTCTATCTTTTTTTGTTGATATTTTTTTATGTTACATACATATATCATGAAAAGAGGTAGTTACTGAATATAACTAATTTCATTTATTTAACACACGCACTTCGGTTTCAATCGAACAATCAATAGTAAATTGACCATAACTTACTCAATAAAAATTCAATTGATGATAGGATTGAATCTTTAGAAACTAGACAGATGGCGCTTTAATTTGATATATTATATGCTTAATTTGGGTAACTATAACCGCACTGCCGAACCATTCCTTTCATCGTCACACACATTTCGACTTTCACTAAACAGTCGAGAGTAAATTGACCATAACTTGCTCAATAAAAACCTAATTGATGAGAGGTTTAAATCTTTATAAACTAGACAGACAAGGATTTAAATTAATATATTATACGCTTAATTTAGATAACTATAGCCCCACTTCCAAATCATTCATTTTATCATCACACACATTTTGGTTTCTCATGTTTCTCGATTTTCACTGAACAATCAGTAGTAAATTAGTCATAACTTACTCAATAAAAATCCAATTGATGAGCGGTTTGAATCTTTGGAAACTAGAAAGACGAAGCTTTAATTTGATATATTATATGACGAATTTGGATAACTATAGACCTGCGGCCGAACCATTCATTTTATCATCACATATATAAAACCAATTCAATTTTAGTGATGACAAATGATAACAAATATTGATATGCAGTTTTAATTGTATTTGTTTATCCCTTTTTATTGATTTTTTTTTATGTTACATGCATATATTAAAAACAGGTTGTTGTTGAATATAACAAATTTTATTTGTATCACAAATATTATTTGATGTTTGTTATTGAACTATGTAGCTCTAGTAAATCATTTATAATATGTTAAACTGTTATTATTATCCTTAAAGGAAAATAAATATTGATATGTAGTTTTAATTGTAATTATTCTATCTCTTTTTGTTGATATCTTTTTATGTTACATACATATATCATGAAAGAGGTTGTTATTAAATATAACTAATTTCATTTATTTAACAAATATCAACTGATGTTTGATGTTGAATCATGTAGCTTTAATAAACCATTCATTTTATCATCACATACATTTAGGTTTCCACTAAACAATCAATAGTAAATTTATCATAACTTGTTCAATAAAACTCCAATTGATGAGAGCTTTGAATCTTTAGAAACTAGACAGATAGAGTTTTAATTTGATATATTTTGCGATTAATTTAGATAACTGTAGCCCCACTGTCAAACAATTTCTTTTATCATCACACACATTTCAGTTTCCACTAAACAGTCAATAGTAAATTGATTATAATTTTCTCAATAAAAATCAAATTGATGAGAGGTTTGAATCTTTAGAAACTAGATAGATAAGGATTTAATTTGATATATTATATGCTTAATTTTGACAACTGTAGCCCCACTTCCAAACTATTCATTTTATCATCATACAAATTTCAGTTTCTACTTAATAATCAATAGTAAATTGACCATAACTTATTTAATAAAAATCCAATTGATGAAAGGTTTAAATCTTTAGAAACTAGACAGACATGCCTTTAATTTGATATATTATACCCTTAATTTGGATAAATGTAGCCCCACTATCGAACCATTCCTTCTATTATCATACACATTTGGGTTTCCCCTATTTCTCAATTTCCACTGAACAGTCAATAGTAAATTAGTCATAACTTACTAAATAAAAATCCAATTGATGAGCGGTTTGAATCTTTGGAAACTAGAAAGATAGAGCTTTAATTTGATATATTATAGATGAATTAGGATAACTATAGGCCTGTTATCATCACACACATAAAACAAATTCAATTTTAGTGATGATAAACGAAAACAAATATTGATATGTAGTTTTAATTGTATTTGTTCTATCTCTTTTTGTTGATTTTTGGATTGATTTTGTTGTTTGATGTGTAGGTTTACAATTATCGTCTTTCTTTAGGATGCTATCATCAAATGCCTTTCTTACTATAGGTGATGGTCAATTCTAATTGTAGCAAATATATTTGTATCATAGGACCTTTATTTTCATGGATTCTTCAATGCTTCAATTAAGTTGCCTTCACATTATACTGTTGGAGTTGTTGTTGCTTTCTATGCGAGTTCTCATCTCAACATTCTAATTTTTTTTTTTAATTTCTAAAATAATAATAATAATTCATTTTCTCTTCTCAACAATCAAAATCAATTTTTTCCTTTGGTTCTGCAAGTCTCTTGCTTAAAAGTTCACATTTTTCAACAAGATTTCTCTTTCTTTGATTGATTTATAGACTTATCAATAATACCCAGTGGGTTATCTTGCAAAGTTTTTTGCTTTTTTTGACAAAATTTTAAACTTTGATTGCAGATTTCAAATGGTGACATATTTGAGAAGAACCATGATGATATAAACTTTGAGTTCAATTTGTGGATATTTTATTTATTAATTTTTTAATTATCAATTCAATATAAAACGAACTTCAATATAGAAAATATATATTTAAAACACAAAAAAAAACCAATAATAATGTAAAAGAAAAAATATAATAAATATACCCACGTAGCGCAACTTGAAAATATAAGTTACAGAAATTGCGGAAGGTTAGTATAAATGTTAAGTTTAAATGGTCAATCTTGATAATATTCAAGTAATCATTAATATCATACACGATTTACTACAAAATACAGACATATTTGCAAAAATAATATCAATTGTACAAGGTGATGATCCTAAAAATATAATTAGACCATATAATATTCAGATAATCTTCTCAAGTTGGATGAATGATTTAATGACATTCACCTATAATTGATTTTAATAATTATACAGGTACAATTATTAATTTTACCTTAACACAACTCTATATATATATATATATATATATATATATATATATACACCTTAAAATTTATATAATTTAACGATTATTATATTTTAATCTAATTAGTTTATTTTGTTAGAATAAATTTGTTTACAATTTATTTAAAAAATATTGAATAAACATACCCATGTCTAGTTGAAATATAAATTAGGATACGAATTCATATTACAAGCTCAATATTTCCTCCAACTCAAAACTCAAAGTAGAAGATACAAACTCTCAGTACTAATCATTACAAAATGCTTATGTGCAAAAACAATACCACAGAATCACAGTGGCAACATACATCGCAGGCTGCCACCATTTAAGGTCCCTCCACGACATTTGCCGGAAGATTATCCACGATGGACAACCCAATTTCGGAAGCAATCACCACTGTACACCTGTAGTTCATTAATGGAAGGATTAGCAATTAGAAATATATTGAATCAGTAAAACAGATAATTATTTGGAGCAAACATGATTACTGACCATGTAATGTACAAAACAAAAGAAGGATTCAGATGATTTTATTAGAAAAGAAAGGTCTAAGAGGAACATTTAATGCACTATCAATGACAAGTAGATGTTGCTGATGGAGAAACAAGAATACATCAATGACGACTTTGTTTCGTAGTTTAGCACACAGAATGAATGCTAAAGCGAGTACAGAGGAGACGAGGATACTAACGGGGACTTGGAGACAATGCCATGATCCACAACCCCATCAACTTTATCAAGGCTTTCAGCCACTTCAGCTGCAAATAACATATGCAAGGGTTAAGCAGGAACATATCTTGAAACGTAAATGCAAGCCCTGTAACGGGAAATAACATGATCACAAAACTTACCGAGGCTTTGTATTGGAGATGTGAAGATGACATCAAGAACATTATGACCTTCTTTCGTGATCAATGGGAAGTCACCGCCTAAAGGACCTGCGTGCCCTATAGATGGTCTCCTCCAAACCTTGAGTAATTAAACAGAAGAATTATTAAAATAAGCAATATGTTTTCCTTCAATCTGATGAATCTAAACAAAAAGCTATATTGCAAATGCCATGGACATTAGTAAATGTTGTTTTCTTCATGTCTTCAATAATGGCATTGACCATTATTTAAGCAAAATTACATAACTCCGTGGACAAAGGCTAACCAGACAAGCCAATTTCTTCTTCTAGTTCAAAATTAAACTGATTTCTGAAATGAAAGGAAAACACACTACGGAAAAATTGTCGATCCCCAAATTATCTTTGGCTGAAAATCTATTGAACAGTGAAGCACATCCTGCGTGGAAACCACTAAGCCTCTCCACAAAGCAAAATTAATATTTTCTCAATGCCATTACAAAATCATGTGACCAACTTTGCATCAATTTAAGCACAATTTGATCCTTTTCAAGTGACAACTTTCTCTAATGTGGTAAGCATCTATTGGGGTGTGGCATTGGAAATAATCGGGGATCTTAGCCATAAGTTTTTAAGTGATTTAATTTTATGATTTCAAGTTATGACACTCACAGCTCAGTTCAATGACTTTGTGATATATTTTTAAAAGACCATACCTCTGCATCACCTAAAAACATATCATCAATCTCTTCAGCAGCGTCCATCCAGTTGAGCTGAAATGCAAGTATTTAAAATTAATTGGGCATCCTTCAGTTAATCTGCAAGTTAATGCCTGGCATATTTAATAATATATTCCTTACAGATTGAACTAGAACTGGAATAGAACCCTCTAGACCACCTTTAAACCGGTTTTCTGGTACAATGAACACAAGTTTATCAGCTGCATTCAGTATAGACTGTAAGCAAAACAAAAAGATATTAAGCAGTCAGCTTTTCCTTAAGAAGCAATATTCCGGTATAAATGCATAAAATTTAATTTATCAAGGTAAAACACTACACAGTCACCTTCTCTTCGATTATGGACTCGTCGCCTCGAGGTCGCTGACGCCCAATGACAGCAACAAGTGTTCCCTCTTCTACAATATCAGCGTCATCAAATGCAAAATCAATCTACAAAATAGAAGCTTAAAAGTAATATTATACTCAAATTTAAACTTCAAATAACAGTATAATATATAATTGTCTATAAATTCATGGATTAATTTAAGCGAAAATATTCAAGTTCACTTCCAAAGAGAACTATTCTGAATGTCAAATTTTACACAAGAAGAAACAATAACAAAATCTTCTAGACCAGAGCTCTGCACTTGTAAAATTAGGAATAAAAGTGTTAGAAAGGTAGCTAATTGAGTTTTTCAAAGTAAACATGGTGAGGGCCATCTAATCACATAATACTCACAAACCCCAATTAGAAGGAAATATAATAGGTGATTAGAATCTGTGCACACTTGAGAAGTATCTTGATATTTATCCAATGGAATGCCAGACATTGCTGCTTCAGTAGCACTTGTTATAGACCTGCACAAGACCAAAGCAAGTTGTATGTTTTAAGAACAAAGAATTAAGGAGCTATTTGAGTCATGATTCCATTGTAGTTTTCAGAAACCAGGGAACAGTACAGAATTTCGTTATATAATTTGGACACTATCTCATAGAAAATAACAAGACAATAATTGTTTTAAGAATTTAAACTAACTTTTAAAATTATATCCAGAAAATATAATACTACTTACAAAATTTAAATCCAAGTGATATGGCATTTATTTAAACTATCACATCATTTGCCACATTATTTCAAAACTAAACTTGGACTACAAACTCTGTAAACGTAGCATTATTCTTTCTAAAACTCACAATTAGACTCATAGTCTTAAGAATGTCGGTTTGAAACAATAATTAGATACGGTTTGTTTACCAAGCAACCGTTAAAACAAGGCAAGGGATAATATAGATGATATGGTTTGACAAGTTGTTTCATTTGCATAAAGTGGCCACAAACACAACAAACAGCTGCATTTCATAGTGTGGTTAAGGAAAATTGAAATAGAACACACACTCACATGGGTATTCCTACTATATCCTTCAAAGCACCTGCACGAAGCTGCTGACCCAAATATTGTATGGCCATACCAGAAGCCTGACCAGACCCTAAACCAACAACCATGCCACTTTTTATGTATGTATCCACCTACAAATCAATACCAAGCCAGTTCAATTTCAAGCAACATGCATAATATAATAACCAATACAATCTAAAGTATAATTTAACAAAGAAAGATGACAACGTGTTGGCTGATCACAATGTGGGGAATCGATTTCATTGGAGGATAAAATGACTCTGGAAGCTTCCCACGGACATTGCTTCATCCTAGTAGAAATTGACTACTTCACCAAATAGGCAGAAGCCATACCTTACGCAAATGTCAGCAAGAAGATAATGCACGTATTCAGTCAAAACAAAACACTACAACATAAAAAAGCGTTAAGTGGGAAAGACATACCATATCACCATATATACACAGCCCAATAAAAATATAGAAGCTTGCTACCTACATATATATACTGTTTAAAATGACCATATTTCGAATGATTTTCTGAAAAATAACATGCTCAAAAACTCTTCAGTATCTTTCTACATTTTACCCAATGAACCAAAATACTCTTTACTAACACAATGGTAGAGGCTGTCGAGTGCATCAAGTGAGTCGAGTATGCCAAGCCTCCCTACTTATATCTTCTTTTATCCTAGGTCTCAATGCAATCAATGACACTCGACATGCTTGAATAAAAATACGTCAAAGTGTGTCGAGCACGACGAAATTAAACTATCATTTCAGGGGTACTTTTAATTAAACTATCATTTCAGGGGTACTTTTAATTGAAATATGTCAAAAGTTTTCTACATAATATAAGAACTATTAAGGTCAACAATCTCAAACCCCAAGTTATGGTTATCTTTTGCTACTTTCCATTGTAAATAAACATTAAAACAACCACAATAACGTTAACAAATGAGGAAAAGAAAAAAACAATTTGAATGGTAAAAAATGTTACTATTTTAAAACTGAAACTAACCCACTTACACAATCAGTACAATGACAATTTCTACACAGAAGGGAAACAAACTTGAAGTGGGCAATGGATGGTACTTACAGTGTGCTTGGCCGCCCGGAGGAGAACCGAAGAGCCATCAGAAACAGTGCTACTGCTACCGATTGCTCGAGTAATTGCTCTAAAGAATCTTCTGTCGTTGATGTTCTTGAAATTTATGAATGAAGGGTTTTGAATTGCTGAAATTGAGGTCCACATTAATGCCATTTTGCTTCTCTCTTCTTGCACTCTGTTATCAGATTCAGATTCTTCTGGTTTCAATTTGTTCTCAAAAAAAATCCCCCACCGGGTTGACCCGAAAAATTCAATCTATTGGGCTTTGGATTGATAAATGAGGCCACCGATACTTCAAGTGTTTTTGACCCGAGCCCATTGGGCTTTCGATTTAAATGAGAAGGTGATTTTCTTGGAGTTTAATTAAAAATAAAATTAGTTTTTTTTTTTTTCAGTCTAATTTTTGTTAATACTCTTGCAAAGGAGGTTTCTTATAAATGTTGTATTATCTTTTTGAATTGATATTTTTTGAGTGATTAGAATTAATAATAATAGGAGGATTATAATAAAGTAAAATTAGCCCAAAAAGGAAAAGACTTTAGGATTAAAAAACCAAATGGGATAATGATCAAAACTTCAACTTTTAAATACCTTTATGTGAAAAATCAAAGAGCATGGTTGATGAAAATGCAAACACCATTCCCCAAATTTAGCAAAAGGATTTATTACTTTTCTTTTACAAATCATAATCACTCTACACTAACTTTGACAATAGAATTTAGTATATGCTTCAAAAGTGAAAGTAGAATTTGAGATAAATTATCACCCCAAAAATCTTGAAAATATACATATATATATATATAATTCTCTAGTCGTTGTATCAAGACCATGTTGGAATAACGTTGGATGCACTCATTGGACTGAAATGATATTTTATAAATAAGAATCCAACAGTGATTAAACATGGTTCTGACTAAAGAACTACTATATATTTGATAGGTCCCAACAAATATTACTGATGCTAACGTAAATTGCTTTCTCTTCAGGTGAGAAAAGTACCACAAGTTGGATGAATATTTTCTGATGATTTTTGCTTCCTTTCATTGATAAACTTTGGTTGTTTAAATAAGCAAAGCCACGTACAAACAAACCAAAAATGAAGGGAAACTAGCAACTGGAACAAAAACACGTAAAACAGAGCATAACAACAAGGCAATAACAAACTAAAATAAAATGATGTAAAACTTGCAACTATGGATGAGTAAACTGCATTTCCTTCTACACGTAAACTGCCACAAGCCCACGACCCAGCCCATTCCTGCATGGACTCTGTCTATTGTCTACATTGCATGCATGTCCCAGCTCATCCCAACCTCGTGGCCTCAATTCTCCCCCCATCAAGTGGATCCTTGTCCTCAAGGTCCATAGTTGGAAATATTTCCAGGAGCTTTTTCGTCTAGCCATTTTCTGGCGAACCTGGACCCGTTTGAAGGTTGTTTGCTGCTGGTATGGGTGTAGCTTCAAAAGTACCATATTGCCGATTTCGAACAACACATCCCCCCTGAGTTGGTTGCTCTCCGGTGACATCTTCACAAATAATGCTGCCGTTGCCATCATGTCCTTCCAGCATGAGTAGTCGTGGCCCTTGACACCGGTGACTTGTAGTAAAATGCTCATTACAATTAAAACATAGACCTTGAGCTCGCCTTCGCTGCGTTTCATCCCAAGTCAGTCACCGAACATGAGCTACATGTGCGGCTAGCGGAAGAGCTAACGGGGCTCTCACTGGTGGTGGAGGATGTACACATGTGCCTTGTCTCATTAGTTGATCATCTTTCATTCGTGCAAAGCTGATAGCCTCCTTTAATGTCTGAAACTTAAACATTAAGATACCATCCGAAATGTCCATTTTTAAGCCACCCATAAATGTTCCCACAAGAGCTCTTTGGTCCAACCTTGTACACGATTGCCCAAGCGCTCTAATTCCTGCTGATAATCATGCAATGAACCATCCTGCCGTATCCTTGAAAGGGCTTCATCAAAATCCTCGCACTCCGATGGCCCAAAGCATGCCTAGAGCTCGTCTTCAAAATCTACCCATGAGAGAGCGCGTCCTTGTTCTTGGAACGTCTTGCGGATCCATTGCCACCATTGGTTGGCCACTCCTTCCAAATAGTAAGAGGCTAAGGAAACTTTCTGGGTTTCGAGAGTATTTTGGAATTCAAAAAATTGGTTCACACGGTTGAACCACTCCGTCGGGTCATCTCCGGAAAATCTAGGAAACTCTAGTTTTGCCGTTTTGGAGGATACAACAAGCCGTCCCCCATTGTGGCCTTCACGGTGTGGGTTACCCTGGTTTGGAGGCTCCTAGTCTGCAAGGAGTACATCAGAGAGACGGTTAAGAGTTTCTTCCATATGTCGCAGCCTGTCCGCCAAACCGAGCTCCATTCGGTGTAGCCCATCTTGCACTTCACCAAGCCTAGCCTCCAACTATTCAATATGCTCTTTATTGGTTGCCATAACAACTTGGCTCTGATACCAATGATAGGTCCCAACAAATATTACTGATGCTAACGTAAATTGCTTTCTCTTCGGGTGAGAAAAGTACCACAAGTTGGATGAATATTTTCTGATGATTTTTGCTTCCTTTCATTGATAACCTTTGACTGCTTAAATAAGCAAAGCCACGTACAAACAAACCGGAAATGAAGGGAAACTAGCAACTAGAACTCAAACACATAAAACATAGCATAACAACAGAGCAATAACAAACTGAAATAAAATGACATAAAACTTGCAACTACGGATGAGTAAACTGCATTTCCTTCTGCACGTAAACTGCCACGAGCCCACGACCCAGTCCATTCCTGCAGGGACTCCGTCTACTATCTACGTTGCATGCATGTCCCAGCTCATCCCAACGTCGTGGCCTATCAATATTATATTGATTACACAAATATAAATTTATTTTAACACCCCGAAACACATTAGTAATGTTTTTTGATAGGTTGGGATATAGTAAATTTATTTTTTTACTTAAAATTTTGACACCATTTAATAACCACTTATTTATTTAGAACAATACTATACTTACAAAAATACAATACAAATTCTTTCCTACAAAGTGACATGTCAGATTATGAATTGATGAATTAATATAAAAAAAATCAATTTAATAAATACATATTAAATGACAATTACTTTGTATGAGTGACTTTATATAGAATTTTTATAAGTAAAAAGTATTACTCATTTATTTATACATAATGGTGGAGTTGCATTAAAATATATTGTAGAATGTTATAATTATACATGTTATATGTTATATTTTTATTATAAAATTAATGTAATATGATATTTAATTTACTTTTAAAAAGCTTCATCTTTTTATTGTACATAATCTTGATAAGCTAAAAATAAAAATGACTCACTTGACTGATGTCCTTCAACCTCAGACTTCTCTTGCTTGCTACCTTATTTTTCATGTGCCCATAAAAGGGACCTTTGTCATGTGGGCTTTGCTTTTAATCATTGATATAAGAACATTACTTGCATGTTCATATTCATTTTGATTAATTTTTTTACACTTTTGGATGAACATCATAAATCTTTCAAAATGATCACTTCAATCCTAAAAGAGCAATACATTATAGCTCCTTAAGAATTTTCAAGTTTCAAAAATAGGTTTTGTAACTCATCAACCTTATAAACTCAAAATTTCTCCCTAATCATCCAAGGTATCCAATGAGATTAAACAAATTTTCCTCAAATGAGACCTTCGACGAAGAGATGACTTTAACCTTCGCATCCGAGCACTTGAACCCACTACATTACAATGTTTGAGGGTTTTGGTTTGATACCATTTTGAAGAAGATCTAGCTATCCAACTCAAAAAACTAACTTTCTAAGTAGAGTAACTCATCCAGCTTAACCACTAGCCTTGTGACTGGACGACAAAACTTTAGCCATCTTAGTGAATTACCCAGAGGTCTTGTGTTCGAATCTGACAAAGTGGTCATCGACCATATTTGTGACTTACCTAGCCTAATGGGCTTGTATGATGTTCAATGGACCCCGAATATTAGTTAAGGTGTATGTAAGCTAACTCGGCCAGTCCAATTACCCAAAAAAAAAAGAAAAAAAATCATCCAACTCATGAGACATAAGATTCTTTCTTAATCATCCAAGGTATCCTAATGAGGATTATTACAACTCCAAAAAAAAAATAAAAAATATTAGACTAAATATAAATTCATCCTTTTACCTATAAACTTATTAATCCAATTTAAGGCTATTCCTCTTTAATTTTCATACATTATGAAATGATCATAGCTTGGTACTGACCTAATATTCTTAATTATTTATTAACAAGTGATTATCAACTTAAATTATTATTGTAGGTGTTGGTTTAAGAGCTAATAGCTTTGTAATAATGGTATAAATATTATCACTAATTACATTATCTTTGATGCAAACGTTCAAATATACCACCATAATGACTACTTTTGGAGATACCTTTTTCATTGCCATGCTTAGAAAATTAATAGACTATCCATAAATAGTTAATTTACATTATCTACCGAATGATGATGCTATAATATTTATAAAAAAAAATTAATAACTTTAGAATAAAATAATACTAAATATACAATTCTTTTTTTTTTTTAATACAAACTGATGTGATATAAACTAAATACATGAATATATTTAAAACAACTTAATAAATACTCAATAACTATGAATGAATGATATGTTTATTAAAAAGCTATATCACATTAGTTTATATATTTATTTTATGTATGTAACATTATTTAGCACGTATATGGTTTATATAAATAAATTTATAATTTACTTTACACCGAATGATAAAACCCAAAAAGAGTCTCATTAATTAGGGTTTATCTTTATCATCCCTCAAATTTTCTCACTCACCAAACAAACAAAAAACAATATGATAAAGGCACATGGAGAAGACCATCGATTAGAATCAAAGTGAAAGTGATGAGAATGATTATAGAATCGGCTTCTTTTTAGTGAATGGTAAGAGCATCCAGGGAAGGAACTCAATAACGACTCTATTATTTATTTTTGTCAAAAAGCTTTCACAAATCACAACGGTGCATTTATAATAACAACATTGACCCACTTCTTTTGACAAACAAAATTATGATAGCATTTAATCAAATAATAAAAATAAAAATAAATTAAATAAAGAAGGAGAAAGAGATAACATGGAATAGAAGAAGAATCCCACTTTCTTTTGTTTCACTTTGAGCATGTGCTTGCCTTTTAATTGAGTGCTTAATACACCACCGTCCCACAACCCTCCCACATTCTTCATTCTTTTTTCTTTTTTCTTTTAACAAAATTTTCAATAAATATAGCTAATATTAATACCCATTTATTAAATATAGAAAAAAAATTACGTTAAATTATGATAATTTGGCTATCATATTATATACATTAACCGAAGGATGCCCAATTATTATATTTGGTAAATATTTTTTTAATTAATAGAATGAAATATAAGTTTATCTTTTATAGATAGTATTGTTTTAGAGATGTAAGAAAAATACTAATATAAATACCCAAATAAAAAAAAAAAAGTAATTTGAAAGTACGAGAATTCCTTTTTGGAAGCATTATATAAATAAAATTAATTAATTTTGGACAATATTATCCAGGGTGTCAGGTTTTGACGGTTAAAAAATTAGAACGTTGGAGAAGAACAGACAAAGCACAAAGAGAAAAGGGCCAAAACTACAAAAGATTGGCCCATCACTTCACCGTCATTTTCCTTCACCACAGCCGCAGCCCACCATCTCTGACTTTTCTTTTCTTTTGTTAAAAAAACAAAAAACAAAAAACAAAAAAGCAAATAAAGTCTCCCGTTGAGACAGCGTATAACGCTAACTGTATGTCGGTATAATAAAATCTTATTTATAGTTTAATAATATTCTGGGAAATTAATTTTAATTTTCACATAGTTAACCATAATCGTGATTAATTGGTTTTGATGTAAATTTATATGTGAAATTATATTTTTGTATCTTGGCTCGTCTCTTCTATCGTCGATACACTCTTGACCTTAACTGGTTAGATCGTGTCTTCGACACTGTTACTTTAAAGAAATTAGAGTACTTAAGAGTCAAGACAAACTTACACTTTAGATACATTAGTATGAGATAATATCATAGGATTTCAATCCTATTTATTGGCCTTTGGGATCGAAAGTAATGATTAACATGGATAGTTGGAGGTATTCTTATTTCATAGTCAGAGGTGAAATTCTTGGATTTATGAAAGATAAACAATTGCAAAAGCATTTACCAATGATGTTTTCATTAATTAAAAATAAAAGTTAGTGACTAGAAGACGATTAGATATCGTCCTAGTCTCAACCATAAACGATGTCGATCATGGATTAGCAGATATTGTTTTTAAGACTCCGTTGACTCCTTATGAGAAATCAAAGTCTTTGAATTCTAGGGGGAGTATGATCACACGGCTGTAACTTAAAAAAAATTGATGGAAGGACACCACTAAGAGTTGAGTCTGTGGCTTAATTTGACTCAACATGGAAAAACGTGTCAGGTCTAGATACAGTAAAGATTGATTGATCGAAATTTCTTTTTTGATTCTATGGGTGATGGTGCATAACCGTTCTTAGTTGGTGGAGCGATTTGTCTGATTAATTTTGTTAAAGAACGAGACCATGGCCGTTGTATAGATGCTGTGACATACTCGTCTTAATTATCACTTTCTCAAGTGTACCTTCTCTCTCTGTCTGTTTTTTTTTTTTTTTCCTTCTTTAATTAATTTATATCAAGTCAATTGTACATTTGTCCAATAAAATCTTATTCATATATGTGTTTACAAAAATGATTAGATAATGCATATTAACATATATTTAATCCATTTTCATTCTCTCCAATCTATAAATAAAAGAGAATTCTCCAAATTGGTAAGAATTTTGTGACGTATATATTTTTTTATTTTAATTTAATCAAGATATTTTCATTATATATTTTCAATAAATATCAATTACATGTGTTTATACTTTATTCAGATACAAGCCAAAATCCGGGGAGGGTCGCATTGGCTCCTTGTGCTCCAATGAGTGGGAGATTTTGAAAAATAAAATTTTATAAATTTATCAATTTTTTTTAATAATAAGTAAATTTATAATTTATTTCATATTATTATTTTTAGAAAAATCTATTAGTCATAACAAATAGTTTTAATTCTCTAATTTTTTCATTTTTTAATTTTTAATTTTTATATCTCTTTTTCTTTATAAAATGCATAATTTCTTAGGGTTAGTTAGTTATCTTAGTTAGTAAATTCGCGTATTATTCGCGAATTACACTCCCAACCATATAATTCACGTATTATTCGTGACCAAACGTATTTTATCAGTTTAGTCGTATTATTCGCGAATTATATGCCTCAATTGTATTATTTGCGAATTATTCTCGTATCTGAATTTTTGCCAAATTTTTACAAACGTATTTTTCACAATTTTTCGTATCATACCCGTAAAATTCTCATACCTTTTTTGGTTGTACCCATATATTTGAAATGTTATATAGATTTTAACCGGGTGAACTATGAAAAGTGCTAAAACTAAAATTGATATTATTGTATTTTTTAAAACGTATTATTGACAATATGCCGTATTAAACCCATATATACTCATACCATATTTTTTCCGTATCCAAATTTTATAATCGAATTTTTACAAATGTATTTTTCTCCATTTACCGTATTATACCCGTAAAATTTTCGTATCTTTTTTTTGTCGTACCTGTATTTACTACTTGGTTTACATTTATATAACTTTGTTTCCTTTTTTTTTTTTTTTTTAAATTTATGCAATTTCTTTATATTAACAAAATCAATAATTTGTTTATATCTAGAAATTTTGCTGGACTATACGAAAAATATTTAAAATCAATGATTTCAAAATTGATCAAAAATATTTATACAATTCAATAAGTAAAAAAAAAAAAAAAAATTTTCTGGACTATACGAAAATTATTTAAAATCAATGATTTCAAAATTTATCCAAAATATTTATACAATTCAATGAGTAAAAAAAAAAAAAAACAAAAATTCCGCCAAAAATTATAATCTTTACTTTTCAATTAAAAAGAAGAGAGGCAACCCAAAAGAAAAAAACGTTTAAATATAAACCTACACTTATGTCAAAATATATTTAAATTACGATTTATTTTTCACATTTTGAGATCTCTTAACGAAAATAATTACAATACTAAAATCACTCAAGAAATACAGATACTATTGTTTTTTTTAAGAATTGACCCTAATTATACTAAATTTATAATACTACTTTTTTCAATTACAATATTAACATTATCGGTCTGATATTTTTTTGTATGTTGTCAAATTCCTTTGTGACAAGGCTTTATTGTAGAATAATACTATAAATACAATATTTTTTATACAATATTATGTGATAAAAGATAATTGGGTAAAAAATTAATTTTAATTTAAAATCAATCAATCATATTTTGACACATAATCTTATACGAGAAATATTGTATAAAAATATTATAATTGTAATACTACTATTTATTTTAAATTTGGTCAAATATATAACAATTTTTTAAAAGTTTTTTTAAATTTTATTTAGAATTACACATGCTCCAAAAATAAAAAAAAATGAAAATTACAATAAGACAATAAAATCCCTTCAATAAAACAAAACAAAAGAAAACGTTCATTTTCCCTTCATCTTCTTCTTCTCCCATTAAACTAAACGTTCATCTTCACACTCCCCAAGAAAGTTTTTTGCTTATTCATCCTCCATTTTCTCCTCTAAAACCTCCCATTCTATTAATACTCCCCTTCTCTCTCTCCTCTCTGCCACTTAAAGTCCCCTCTTTTCCTCTGTTTTCTGACTAAAAAAGTGGCTTTCTTTTGTTTTTTCTCTCCCATTACACCTCTCTTTCACGGAGGTTTAATGGGCGACATTTGATTTTTCCCACTTTTCTCTTCTCCTTCTTAGTTTTTTCCTCATTACTCACAAGGTTTTCTTTTTCTCAGTAAAGCTCTGAGCTTTATTGAAAATGAGCTTCATGGGTTGTTCTGATTCTTCGTTTTGAGCTGGTTTTGGTTTTTGGGTTGTTGGGGTTTTGGTTTTGATTTTGCTTTTAATTTTCACCCAATGGAGAGCTCTCAGAAGTTCCTGTTCTTGGGTCATTTAATGGTGCTTCTCTTTGTGGGGTTGTTTCTCTCCACTTTGTGTCAAGAAGATTCAGATGAGGCAATTACCGCTGTGTACATTGTTACTCTTAAGCAAGCTCCTTCTGCTCATTCGTATGCTCAAGAGCTCAAAAGATTGAACAATAAACATCACTTCAATAATCAACATGGAAATTCTAGCAGATTAACTATATTTCAGAAACCAAGGTGCTGAATTTTTATTCTAATGTTTACTTTAAAGCTCTTTGTGTTGACATTTTTAGCTTGTTTATTTCAATATGTTACACGAGTAGTTGTAGTTCAGTAGTTTGGTATTAGTAAGATGAGTTTTATCTTGCCAAATGTTATGTGTTTTCTTTATTTATTTATTTTTTTGATTGATTTTTAATGGTTTTAAATAGTTAATTTTGTTGTGTTTTTAGGGATTTAGAAAGTAGAATAGAAAACCAAATGTCTCATGGGGCCCTCTTGTCTCTCCTTGTGGGTTCCTCTCTAAATTTTCCATTATGAAACTCTTGTAAACATCTGTGTGTGTATACATATATACATTATACCATACTGTTGATTTGATGTTCCCCATTCTAAAAGAACTTCTGTGTTCTTTTCTCTTACTCTTTTTTAATTATTATTATTATTATTATTATTATTGTTATTGTTGTTGTTGTTGTTGTTGTTGTTGTTGTTGTTATTATATAAATTTCAATTGACAAATATTGTCTTTGTTGTGGGATTTTTGGGGAAATCAGTGTGCGAAATAGTGAGTGCTAATTGTTTATACTTAATTTTCTAGTTTAATTATTTGTTTATAATTCGCCTGATACTGATGATTAGGTTTGGTATATACTTTCATCCTATAATTTGATACCCTTTTCGATTTTTGTATTTTGGACAATGGAAGAGTGCATTTGACCAATTATGCTTTTGAATATGTGCTTTCTATATACAGGAATGCTTCAAGATCCCATCCAAGCCCTGGTTCTTATATTTCTCGAGTTCATGATTCAATATTAAGGAAGACATTGAGGGGGGAGAAGTACCTGAAGCTGTATAGCTACCACTACTTGATTAATGGCTTTTCGGTGCTTGTTACCCCTCAACAGGTATATTATAAATTAATATTTATTGTTATCATTTATCATTATTTAGTTATGATGATTATGCTGGTAGTACATTGGTGGTGCTCTGATTAATTGTAGGCTTTTCTTTTTGGGTTCACTTTTCTTTTTTAAAGTTTTTCTGAGTAAAAGTTGTATGTCTTTTATTATTAATTTTCTATTGTTTAGTCATACTTGCATGCGGGAATAAAAAATGCCAAGCGAACTTCTACTTTTTGTGACTACTGTTTCTAATATTTGGGAAGAAATTCACTTTTGAAAGTTTTTTTCTTTCTTTTTTCTGTTTTATTAACTCCAAAGGCAGATAAGCTTTCAAGGAGGAGAGAAGTGGCAAATATCGTTTTGGATTTTTCAGTTAGAACTGCAACTACACATACTCCACAGTTCTTGGGTTTGCCGCAGGGTGCCTGGGTCCAAGAAGGTGGAATGGAACTGCTGGAGAAGGAATAGTGATAGGGTTTATTGATACGGGTATTGATCCAACTCACCTGAGTTTTGCTGATGATGCAACTGAGCGCTCATATCCAGTCCCTTCCCATTTTTCCGGCATTTGTGAGGTTACTCGGGATTTTCCATCTGGTTCATGCAATAGGAAACTTATTGGCGCCCGGCATTTTGCGGCCTCTGCAATAACAAGAGGAATTTTCAACTCAAGTGAGGACTATGCTTCACCATTTGATGGTGATGGCCATGGCATGTGGGTGTACTTTGCATTTTATTGTTAGTATTATAGTGTTTTATTAGTGGCTTTTTCCTTGTATCTGAGATGGTTCTTTCAAAGATTACAACATTTTCTCCTTTTCTCTTCGAAATTTTTCAACATAAACATCCCTTCGGTTTGCTGGTTTTTTGTACGACTTTATAGCCTTCATTAAAATCTGAGACTATGAAAACTAGATAGCATTACTTTTGTACTATGCTAATAGTGAGGCATGTACTGGTTAGTAATTATGATTTTCAGGGAATTATACTTCTTCAGATGGTTCAATCCACTAATAGACTGTACTAGTTTGAGCGAACATGTTTTGCTATTTGTCTTTTTTGTCATCAGGATGTTGACATGGTTGCAGTTATATGTCACATTTCCTTATTCCCCTTCCATTTTGTTTTGTTTTTTTGATTTTTTTTGGTTTGACATTCCCTGCACCAGATGCCCTTGTTGACGGCAAGTAGACAAGTGTGTCATAGTGTCATTCTTGTGTAGCTTCAAAATGTTTATAGACCAAATGGAAACTAAAACTATATAATTTAATTTATGAGTTCTATAAATTTCCATTGTATCTCTTTAGATTTGTCATGATGGTTGTAATAAAATCAAGTTTCACACCTATTTTGAATGTTCTGATGACCTTGTTTTCAATGAGCTTGAGAACATTAAATGGGCTAATGTTGATGATACTAAAATATAATAAATAGTCTTTTCAAAAGCTGTGGAAAAGGTTATGAAAATTCCCACATTCAAGTGGGTGTCAATATGCTATATTGATTTTCATTCACTTCTTCCCAATGTAATTTGACCTTATATGTATATATACACAGGCATACAGCTTCTGTTGCTGCAGGAAACCACGGTGTTCCAGTAGTTGTTGCCGAGCATAACTTTGGAAAGGCAAGTGGGATAGCTCCTCGTTCACAGTAATTAATCTGGACCAACCTTTTTTTTTTTTTTTTTCACTTTTATGTGTTTGAAAATTGGAAAATTTTTTGTTTTCAGTTTGAAGATGATCATAGTCACAATTATGTTTCTGTTGAATTTCTTGCCATAAAGCTCAGTCAATGTTTAAGATAATGAATGCTTCTTATATAAGTTTTATTGGTTAATGTGTTAATTAAATGACCATCTTTACCAGTATTGCTGTTTACAAGGCATTGTACAAAAGCTTTGGAGGCTTTGCTGCAGATGTTGTTGCTGCCATAGACCAGGTACATATGGTTGGTTTTTCTGTTTCTGAATTTTGGTCCTGTTGGAGAACTGATGTTCATCCAGGAAGGCCTTACCATATAAATAGTATGATGCTTCAATGAAGAAAATAGGAGCTATGCATACCATGAATATTATGGGATCTGTAATTGATATATATATATATATATATTACCATCATCGGTTTACAGGCAGCTCAGGATGGAGTCGACATTATAAGCTTATCAATTACTCCCAACCGGCGTCCTCCTGGTATTGCTACCTTTTTTAATCCCATTGACATGGCCCTGCTATCAGCTGTGAAGGCTGGCATTTTTGTTGTGCAAGCAGCTGGAAATACTGGACCTTCGCCTAAGAGCATGTCTTCCTTTAGTCCATGGATATTCACTGTTGGTGCGGCCTCTCATGACAGAGTTTACTCAAACTCAATATATCTTGGCAATGATGTTGTCATTCCTGGAGCTGGACTTGCACGTAAGTTTGTATTCCAGTTATTCCATTTCTTCTATTGCTTCATTATTTCATATGAAAGATCATAATTTTGAGTTCCTTGAATTATTGTACAAACTTGACAATTTAGCCAATAAAAATGAAAATAAACTCAAAGACAATTAACTTGACCAAGTCAAGGTCCTTTATTTGGTACTGTGTCAGAGCTAGGATCAGTTGCAGGCATGGCACAATCTATCACTTATTTTGTGATACCTAGATGGGCCATTTATTTGCACCTGATGGTGAATTTATTGATGCATGCCATTATATATTGATTTCAAGCATTGCTCATTAGCTATTACAATGAAAGATAAATGGTGTACTATGTTTTTGTTCAGCGGGAACCGATAAAGATTACACTCTGATTTCTGCACTTCATGCTTTGAACAACGGCACAACTGTTGCTGATGATATGTATGTGACTGAATGCCAAGAGTCAAGTAATTTCGACAAGGATTTGGTCCAAGGAAAACTCTTGATTTGTAGCTACTCAATACGGTTTGTGCTTGGACTCTCTACTATCAAACAGGCATTACAAACAGCAAAAAATCTCAGTGCAGTGGGTGTTGTGTTCTACATGGACCCTTTTGTGATTGGTTTTCAGCTTAATCCAACTCCATTGAGAATGCCTGGCATCATAATTCCATCCCCAGATGATTCTAAGGTGTGATTCTGTGTGTTTGTTTGTTCAGAAACCAGCAAATATTCTTTTATGTCATAAACTGTTTTTCTATGATTTTTCCTTAACCAAACACACAAAGTGTACACCCCCCTCTCTGCCTGATGCATTGTTTTGAACTGGGGAAATGATTATTTTGTCTTTACATTGGATGCTGGCCCTTTATTTCTATCTTAAACAAATGACCCTTTTTCGGTGATGCAACATTGCCTCTTGCAGATCATTTCATTTAGTTTTTATCAAGACTTTCAGTGACTTCAGTGAATACTGAGGCTTGAATCAACCCATTACCCATCTCTCTTTTTTGCTCTCTAAATCACTAAAGCTTTCTTGATTTCTTTGGCAGGTTTTACTCCAATATTACAATTCTTCTTTGGAGAGAGATGAGCTTACAAAGAAAATTATTAGATTTGGAGCAGTGGCATGCATTTCAGGTGGGCTAAAAGCGAACTTCAGTAACTCGGCTCCAAAGGTTATGTATTACTCTGCTAGGGGACCAGATCCAGAAGACACCTTCCTTGACGATGCTGACATAATGAAACCCAACGTGGTTGCTCCTGGAAATTTTATTTGGGCTGCTTGGAGTTCTCTTGGCACTGACTCAGTTGAATTCCAAGGTTTGAAGACCTACACATGATAACATTTCAATAATGATACCACAAAGAATTAAAGCTTGACATAAGTCGTAAAACCTACCTTAAACTATTCATGTAACCCTTTCAGGTGAGAGCTTTGCAATGATGTCTGGAACTAGCATGGCTGCTCCTCATGTTGCCGGGCTTGCTGCACTAATTAAGCAAAAGTTCCCCACTTTTAGTCCTTCAGCTATTGCATCCGCACTTTCCACTACAACATATTTATATGACAAGAATGGAGGACCAATAATGGCTCAGCGAACTTATGCTAAACCAGATGAAAATCAGTCACCAGCAACACCATTTGATATGGGAAGTGGGTTTGTAAATGCAACTGCATCACTGGATCCGGGTCTAATTTTCGATTCTGGTAAGTCATTATGCATTTAGCACTGTTTTGGTTTGGGATTGATGCATGGTCTTAGTTGTTTCATCCAAAACATCAAAAAAATGGACGTTAAGTGCTGCTTGCAGATCAAAAGTGTTATGGTGAACAGAACCTGAGCTGATGCAGGAAAATAGCTATGAAATTGGGATCTGATTGCATCAACTTAAAGAGATAAAATAAAGATAAAAAAAAAAAAAAAATGATAATAAAAAAAAAAGAACACTTCACTGGTTGAACAGAGGAAAACCTGAGAGTAGGAAACCTAGGCATGATACCTAAAAAAATCACATCCGTGAGATGCATCATGTATCAAACGGGATCTTTTTAATGCATCTTCATTAGCTTAAGAAATTAATGTGCATGCGTTCTCACAACTTCTATAAGTATTTTAATTATGTGACGAGGTTTGATGCAATTGCAAATTACCAGATTGCAAGATATTCTGCATTATCTCTCCTTACCACCTTTCAGTGCGAGCTCTTCTTGATTCCATCAATGTTTGTGAAGTTTTTTCTGCATTAATTTTACCCTATCTTTACACTATATGCTTTGTTATTGCAGTTTATGATGACTACATGTTATTTCTCTGTGGCATTAACGGATCTCAGCCGGTGGTCTTGAATTACACCGGTCAGAACTGCTGGACTTACAATTACACCATTACCGGTGCTGACTTGAACTTGCCATCTATTACAATTGCAAAACTGGATCAGTCCAGAACGGTCCAAAGAACAGTGACTAATATCGCTGGCAAAGAGTATTATAGTGTTGGTTGGAGTACTCCGTATGGAGTCTCCATCAAGGTGTCTCCGACTCATTTCTCGATAGCCAGTGGTGAGAAACAGGTCTTGAATGTATCCTTCAATGCGACAATGAACAGTATGGTGACGAGCTTCGGAAGGATTGGACCGTTTGGGCATAAAGGGCATGTTGTAAACATTCCACTGTCAGTGATAGTTAAAATGTTATAGATTAGTACTAATAGTCTAATAGGTGAGCATTTGAGAATGTGTTTTTGTTTTTTGGTTTTTGTTTTGGTGTTGTTTCATAATTTTGTTTTTGTCAATCGATTAATTCATTCATTATTCTGTAAATGCTAATGCAGGTGGTTGTAATGTATTGTAATGCAAATGCCATGATCAATAATTTTTAACTTTAATTGTTCTGTTTGTGCTCTGACTCCCCTTCTTATAATATTTTTCAAGATGCCATTTGAGCCAAAAATTTAAGCTGTTAAGGGTTAGAATATCATCAATTATTTTTTAAATAAATAAAAAATACAATAAAAAAATCAAAACTAAACACTATTTTTTTTTTTTAAAAGAACAAATTTTGAAGTTTTTTTTTTTTCCAAATATTTTCTATTTTTTCGTTTTTATTAAATTTCCTTTTAATTTTTAATTTTATTGGTTTCTTAAAAAATAGTTTTTTTTTGTTACTTTTTAGTTTTGTAAAAAAATTTAATTTAAGAACTGAATTTAGTTTAAGAAATAAAAAAAAAATCAAGAGTATCTAAGTCTTTTTATCATTTTCTGTTAAAATTGATACTAAATTATTGTTAAATGTCTTTCAATTAAACCATTTGTAATTTATATCCTCTCATTGCAAAAGTCTGAAAAGTTTCTGTTAATAGAAAAGTACTTTTCACCTCAACATATAGAATTAAAAGTAAATTGTATTTATTAATTTTTTATTTTAGTGGAATTAGGGATAAATAAGGTAGGGACTTGGTTTTATTGATAAGGGGTTGAAAACAATTTTAAATATCCAAGAAGCATTTTGTAATATAGATACACATAGGGGCGTTTAAGTAATTTTATTTTAAGAAAAATACAATCCAAATTCTGTTAGCATTAGCAAATGGTGTATTGATTATCCTTTATCTTGTTGTATAATAATAAAACACAGTAAGAGATTAAGGAAACAAAAGGACTGAAGAGAGAGAATTGGGAGATATGAGACTATTCCAATATTTGCTGTCTTAACTCTTACTAAATACGAACATAACTTCAAAAAATTTTCCATTCAAATGAAAGGAAACATGGTGGAGACTCACCAAAAAGACACATGTCACAACTCACAATATATCTCATGTATATTAGTCTTTTTATTGAATTAATATTACCAAAGTCTTTTATTGGAATGTAAAAAAAATAAAAAAATAAAAAATTTGGCCTAATCTAACTAGGGCCTTATTTCTCATAAATTGTAGTCTTTTATTGAATTGATATACCAAATTTTTTATAGGAATGTTAAAAAAAAAAAAAAAAAAAGAAACCTGGCCTATTCTAGCCAGGTCCTTGAATGTAAGGCTCTGAATGGACTTGGATTGGACCGGTTATACTATGTATAAAATTTCATATAATCCTTTGGCAAATTACTATATCCCTTAAAAAATTATAGGTGACCCTTAGGAGACTATAATTTTTCAAGATATTGAGGTCTTAGAAAATTAGGGCGTAAATACCTAAGTTGGGCTTGCCCAGGTTAAGTCTAGGATACATTTAAAAAAATAAGTCCTTAAGCTTAAAATGCATTAAAAAAATGTGAGCCGAGATCAAGAAAAAGCTGGTTTTTAATACTAGGGTTAGAGCTCGAGTTTGGATGAAATAAGAAGGTTCATTTCAGGGCTTTCTATAATTACTTTAGAGAAGGAGTCTTAATGTAGTTTTTCAAGGGTTACCTATAATTTTTTAAAGGGTATATGTAATTTTATAAAATTTCATATAATATAATCGAGGTTCGACTCAAGCATTCGAGCCTTATTTTTAAGGCCCAGGCCTTTTTTTTTTTTTTTTAAATTCATTCCTATAAAAAATTTGGCTTATTCATTCAATAGAAAAACTAACATATATGAGATAAAGGATAGTCAATACACTATGTTTTAATATTATCCTTCTTATTTCATCCAAACTTGAGCTTTGACCAGGGTTTTAAAAACAACTTTTTCTTGATCTGGTCTTGCTTTTTTAAAATGCATCCGAAACTTAATCAAGTTTATGGGCAAAAAATCATATTGGCCTTGATGAGGCCAATAACGAAATAAACATGTCACAGTCCAAGGCTTTAACTAAACTCCGCTTAGGCCTATGCTTAAAGTCACCCTGTGAACTACCTAATCTATGAGTTGGGCTATTCTACAAGTTAAGTTAAACTAGGTTTCGGCCCATTAGTCTACAAGAGTCCATAAATTACAAAATCAGAATCCTATTCTATTTCCTCTTCTGATAAGATCCCGAATCTTACTCAAACTAGTAAACCTAATGTGCTAAGGACAAAAAACCATTTTGTTTCTTGATAGGGAGTAAGGCTTAGTATCCTACTAAGATTCCAACCCTTTGAGTTCACTATATAAACAGAGACTTGCTCTCTCATAATTCGTTCAATCTCCACTACTCAAAACCGCCTACTTACTCCTAAGTTCTTGCTCCTGAGAACCTGATGCCTTCGTCGTAGTCTTCGTCTCCGACAAAACTCTTGGTAATCCTTGTTTCCGTTAATTCTTATTAAATAGTCTCTTTTAGCCTTGCTGACTTGAGTGTCGGAGTGCCCACAGCAAGCACCAACCCGATGTTTCTTGTAAGCTTCACGCTTGTCTCTTCGTGTGTGCAGGTTCAGCGGATTGTCAGTGGCCTCAACCTCACAGGATCCATCCTTTCCATAATAGCAAATTTTTAGCCTATAGTTTGGCACCCATCATGGGGCATTGACAATCATCTACCAACAACGACTTGCAACATGGGAAGAGGCACAAAACTCCCTCTGATTGACATCGTTAATCAGAAAGTTCCATCGAGATAAGAATTTTTGTTTTCTTTACTTTCCTTCATTTGTTTTATCTATTCACATGTCATATTATATCTATTTAGCAAATAACATGTGATATGATTCCTTGAAGCATCAAAACACATCTCCCATGTGAAAAAGATATGTCATATACACCAAATCATTTTTGTTATATTTTTCACTGTAAGCTTGCTCTTTGCATTTGCTCTCAATCAAGAAACACTCGCCTATTATTTTTCTTACTTATACTGCAACTGATTACTATTTCTTTCATACCTCTCTCTACTCTACCTCCCTTAAGCTCCCTCTTTCTACGTTTTCCTGTTTTCTTCTCCTTCTCCACTTCGGAGACCACTTGCACATCTTTTTTGGTACCAAGCAGTTCTTTTGATATCGGACTCAACCACTGATCACTGCAAATTCTGCTCAAACTGCTGTTACCCCTCTTGATCTTGTGATGGCTAGAACTCTCGCTCTCTCTTTTAGTTATACCAACATCACCCTCTTACAACCTAACATCTTCATCATATTCACCTACGTCCATCTTATTCCCCTTCAAGCCTGTCATGTAGTCCCACTCAGCCATGCACACAATAAGGCCTGGTTCACGCCTATAGAGTTTCTTTCAGCTCAACTCATAACCTCTGCAAGTGGAAGGATCCCCCTCGCTACTATCCGGCTCATCAGAACCCTTACTGAACTCATCATTCAATCCATCACTAGACCATTCACTCGACTCTTCTTGGTCACTCACTTTGGCGTTAACAAAATGTCTCAACCTTTCACTCGAGTCAACCCCTCACATCAAGTGGCAAAGACAACAAGGTACAAAGTATAAGGAGTATTTCTTCCGACTCGACCCTTCACGCCAAGTGATAAACCCCATTTCTCAAATCCTCTCCAAAAGAACCGAACACTGTCCAAGTATCCCTAAGTCACTTTCCACTTGGCTCAACACCAGCAAATCCCCTGGTAAAAACACTTAGTTATTTTTCATCAACTCTCCGAAAACATAACAAAGTGCACTAGACATTTTCCATGCGGCTCAGTTACTCCCATCGAGTCAAACTACTTCAACTGATGGCAATTCTGAGACCCAGTCTTCGTGTATCAACCTTTCTCTCAAGTCTCAACTTAACCATTTGAAGTGCATTCAGCTCAAGTCTCCACAAACCTTGAAACTTAAATCCAAGCTAAAAACAGCTTCGCAGCGAAATTTTTTAGACTCCTGCTTCTTTTCCATAAATGCTTTGGCAAGTGTTGACACCCTGTAGCATTTGGGAAGTGAGAATTTTCATTTTATCCACCTATGTTTTGTTTAAACACCACTTAACATGAGTCCATCATATGAATAAACCAAGAGCCTTAAAACAAAGACCACCTTATCTCGTCCAACTCAACTATTAGCTGTGAAACTGAGCTGAATCCTTAGCATCACACAAGTACAATTCTCTATCAAAAGCCGAATCTCCTAGAAAACATGAAACCCACATGGCAACTTCTTAAATAACTCCATTGCCACTACAACAGTTGTTGCTGTTACTTTGCAACCTGACGCCTTCAGTCTCCCTGCTGTTAACTCTTCCTCGCTGTCACTGTCTCACCAGTTGTTGTCTACGTCTCCCTTTGTGTCCCTGCCTCACTCTCCATCTAGTTCTCGTTCTCCCTTAGCCCCTTTTAGTTCTTCCTCTCGAGCATCTAATCCATTATGTAAACGGTTGAGCTCCTCATCTTTGATTGTGAGGGCTCTCCTTGCAGTTGAAACCTCTATTTCTTTTGTTCTTAAGGTTTCTCTTGCTAACTCCAACTCAGTTTCTACAACTGGAAGTTATCATTTAGTCTTTCCAAAACTCGCTACAGTAACGTGGGTCCATGTAGTCAATTGGTCTTGGGTTATTATACCATTTACCTTTGATGGTGATAAACAATTTACTTGAAAGATCAACAACACTTCCAATAATGGTTTTAGCTTTAGAGACTTTTAGCTTTACATCATCCAACTTGTCTTGCATATCTAAGCATGTCCTTTTTTTCTGTTCAGCATAGTAGTTACTTGAATAAAGATGTTCTTTACTGCTCATGGTTGCCTTAAGCTGAGCAAAACTTCCCTTGATTTGGATCAAGTACCCCAAAAGGAGAGACCACTCGGCCTTGACCAATCTCACACCAATCCATACAAAGCTCAAGTGATCCACTAAGTCAACTGGAATTGACTCGTCAAAACACAATGTACACCAACAAGACTTAGCTATATATCAAAAAAACCACTCGACTCTGTCCTGTAGAACCAACAGAGACAAAGAGCATTATCATCATGCAGGTTTAAGATTACAAGACTCTCCACAAAAGACACCTCCAAAGGCTGCATCTGTAAGTAAATCGATGGGTAAATGCAACGTAAAACAAAAATATTTACCATCGATTACTCTGAATAACCCAAGATTAGGGTCTGCTATTTATTTATTTATTTTACATGCTTAAAATAAAAAGAACAAATATAACAATAATCTAGACAAGGATAAAAAATCATGCACACGTTTAGAGGCTCCTTCAAATGTCTCTGAATGCGATTTCGCTACCAATCCAAGAATAGGATCGAACTTTCGTCGTCCACACGTAGACAGTACAACAAAGACTAAAGATTGATTTTGCTAGAATCAATCCTTGGCTTTAAGGAATCGAGAAACTTGGAAGGTATAGCGTAGAGAATAATAAGAGAGAAAAACTCTCTTTAAAACTCACTCACAACAACAAAATGAGAGAATTCTTATATAACCTAACCTTTGCTTTCTTTGTAGAGTAAACGACATTTTCCCACCCAAGGTTTGGCGAATCTGCAAGTTCCCACCCCTAGTTTCATAAATTGCAGATTCCCACCCTTAAATTAACAGATAACTGTTTAATCTAATAGTTAAAAGGGTAAAATGGTCATTTCAAAGATAAAAATTTCAAAATAACCTCACTTCTCAAATTCACCCCACTGGAAAATTTTAAAATAATCATTCACTTCTCTAATTCACCTCATCGGCGATTTCAGGCCATTCCGGCCTATTTCCAGCACAATCGACCCCTCTTGACGCCACCATTACAATCCCCTCAACCCCTACATCAAAACCCCTAACCTCCCTGCCTGATTGAACCCCCTAATTGTCGGTCGTTGCTTTTAGTGTCAATTGGCGTTTCATCCAAATTCCAGCAAGTCCTGAGACTGAAGACCACCCCCAAGACCACCAATAGCATCGCCGGCTTCCCCCCAGTAAAACTCCTAACATCATCTGCTGCAATTGCCTACCGATTGTCACCGCCTCTCCCTTAGGTTTTTGCATTTTTTTGCCCCTTTCTAGCCAAATTCCGACACCTCGCCGAGGTGGAATCGGGTGTAAAAGTTAGGGGTTTTGTGAGGAGGATAAGGGGATGTTAATGGTGGTGTCGGGAAGGTCCAATGGTGCCTAAATCAGATCGGATTCTTGGTTTGGCCGGGATCTTCTAGAGGTTATTTGAGTGAAATTTGAGATATAGAAGTTATTTTTAGAAAAAAGTAAAGGCGTTAATTTAAGGGCCGGAGTCTACAATTTATGAAACTAGGGGTGGGAACTTGCAGGTTCGCCAAACCTTGGGTGGGAAAATGTTATTTACTCTTCTTTATATAATAAAGAAAAATATCAATTCCACCCCCAAATTTTAGCAACAATCCAAACTTAGGTGGAATCACATAGGTCCTTGTTTAATTATTTAGTTAAATATTAATATTAACTTCAATAATTAAACTTGTAATTTTGCTAAATAATTCCAATAATAAAATTGGACACATGTTACAACCTCAGTAAATTTAATTACTCAACAAAATTCCCAATATGCCCTTTCGTCCAAAAGATGAATATATCATTCTATAGTTAGCCATCCTGAAATTGTCTCCTTAGTGTATGACTCGTAGGCTCCTCATTATACCAGTAGTGAGTAGTATCATGATTGACACCAATCAATCGTCTCACTACACACAGACTAAGATTGGCCCCTAGTAAGGCATCATGGCCACTCGATAGATTTGGATTCAGCGAAATAACTACCTATCAATGATATAATTATTGTGCAATCAAATCATTTCATCATCTATTAGCTCATCAAGACTGAGGTATAGAAATAGTGACAACCTCAGTTATCCTTGATATATTTTTATTCAGTTACTAGACCAATAACCGGAATAATAAATTAGATTGAGCAACAACTCAATCCTACTGTAATCACAGATTTACTATCATTGTCATTAACTAAATTGCGTCGTGAGATAACTTCTCCCATACTTGGGAGTGATGAATCCTCTGTCGATCTACCATAATCTTGATACACTCCTCGATGCAGCCAATCACTACCGTATTGTAAATAGAACTACATTATACTAGTGTCAAACTACACTAGTCGATGTACAAGGCTCATCGCTAATCTCAAGTCTAAGGATCACATACATCACCATTCATTAGAGGATTTGTTCCATAGACACTGGGGTTACCATCTATATGGAATCCTCTGGTGGGTCAGTCCAGTGAACTTGCCTACAGCAAGCATCTATGTGTCGTACCAGGTTGTCAGCAAACAACTTTGATAAGTGAGATCAGTCACTACCTTTCGACAGAGTCGTCGTTCAACACTATGATAGCCTTATCGTATTATTTATGTCCTTGGTCAGAATAACACTAGGGCTATGGACATTTCTAGAATGACAACTATATGTGATCATACAGTTCTGATTATCAATATTTGAAACATTTAATACACTCGTCATGGTTCTACCATCCTAAAGACATATATCAATACATACAACTATGATTTACATAATATAGTAGACAGTGCCTTTTATTGATTAATAAACATGATTACAAAGAGTCAATTCCACAATAATTGATTGGCTCTAGAGCACCTACTCTAACAACATCCTCCAACAACACTTTAGATCATGGTGCTATGTGTGTCATAATCTCCTATGACACTTGGTTGTTTGAGAACAATTCAACTTCTAAAAATCAAGTCCACCGAGCCAAGTCGTTTACATGGTTGGTCTAAATTTGCCTAATGGATGTGTTGGATGATCTTTTATCTTTCCACTCATCATGGGTTTACTCAGCCAGCACTAAGGTAAAAACAATATCCATCTAGCACTACTCTTCAGGTTGAATGGATCTTCACATTCAAAAATCGTTAAGCGGCCTGGAGCATCCTGTCATCCATCTATTTGACCACTCATTCGACCTCTTTACTAGATGGTGGGAGACTTCGCTAGTCCTACTATATTTGTCTCTATTCAGCCTCGAATTTCCATTTGGCACCACACAACTGCATCACACTATGAGCTTCACTCGGCCATGCATCACTATTTGGCTCTGTAGAAGTTCATTCGGTCTTTGAATCCCATTCGGTCTCGTGGACGTCGTTTATTCAGCTTTATGAAGTCCGCTTGATTCAACCTTTGGCAAAACAAGCTCACTCGGCTCCATCTTCCACACGTGTAGTAAAGGAGTCATATGTTATTTGGCTCCACCCTCGCATTATGTAATCGTCTTCATTTGAGTCAGCCTATGAACAAATCACCTACTTACTTGGCTTTACCTAGTTGACACTCTTGGCTTCACTAAGCTCGCCTATGTAACATCATTCGACACTCACCAATATCCCTCATCCGGCCTGATTCAACTCTTATTCAACTAGTTAAACAAATCTCCACCTACATATCACTCAGCATGCATAAGACGCCACAACATGACAAATTACCAAACACGTCATTCTGTAAGTGTCCTCCTTTTGGAACCCCAAGAAAGCCAAATGACCTGTTAGTTTTTTATTGGTTAAGATTAAAAATTCATGGAGGATAAACTCAAACATTCCCACTCGGTGCGTCTCCTTCACTCGGTATAATGAATCGAGCTAAGTGGGCCTTGAGCTATCTCTTTTTACATGCACGCCATGTAGGTCCCTCCTCCAGTTAAGTTTTATTTTTCATTTTTTCTTGCACTTGCAAGCCATGCCTCTCATATCTCCATTTAAGTTTTATTTTTCATTTGGTCTTACACATGCATGTCATGAAACACTTCTCCATTTGGCTTAGTCACCTTCAAACGACCATCGACAGCCTTATATGCACAACCCCTAGCTTTAAAGACCAACTCCATACAAGCTCATTTGGTCATGCACCATCATTCAGCTCCATTCAGAACCCCAAGAAGAGCCGAATGACCTGTCAGTTTTTTATTGCTTAACATTAAAAATTCATGGAGGATAAACTCAAACATTTCTACTCGGTGCGCCTCCTTCACTCGACATAATGAATGGAGCTGAGTGGGCCTTGAGCTATCTCTTTTTATGTGCATGCCATGTGGGTCACTCCTCCAATTAAGTTTTATTTTTCATTTTGTCTTGCACTTGCAAGCCATGCATGTCATTTCTCCATTTAAGTTTTATTTTTCATTTTGTCTTGCACTTGCAAGCCATGCATGTCATTTCTCCATTTAAGTTTTATTTTTCATTTGGTCTTGCACATGCACGTCATGAAACACTACTCCATTCGGCTCAGTCACCTTCAAACGACCATCGACAGCCTCATGTCCACAACCTCTAGCTCCAAAGACCAACTCCATACAAGCTCATTCGGTCATGCGCCATCATTCAGCTCCATACAAGCTCCACTCGGCATACACTATCTACTCATTAGTATGAGCTGGGCCAAGTGGGAGGTACATACCATCTCATATTTATCACAGACAAATTCCCTGCTTGGCTAGCACCATTCACTCATTAGCATGAGCCGAGCCGAGTGGGTGGTACATATCACCATCTTGAAGTGACTCCATAATACTTTGCCCAAACACACATGTGGGTGAACCAAGTTGAATCAACTTGACCCTTAGAGGGCTATGATTCACATAGTCATACATCTATGGAAGGAACAACATACTCTCCAGGATACTCAGTATTCCCAACTCAGGTTGTGTTAGACCGATCGTCACGGTCTTAAAATTAAACCTAAATACCGTAGTAGCGGTAAGCAGGATCGAATCCACAGGGAGCAAGACTAACAACCTAATGTATTTTAAGTAGCAGAAATGAAATTGGCAATGGATTAATGAAACTAAATAGACTAAATGCAAATAATGAAATAGTGAAATTTAAACAAATAAAGACTTTATAATAAAAAATGTTGCCGTTACGGTTTCGGTTCGACACAAGACCGACTCACACAATTCTCTTCCACCCTCTACGATCCCCTAAACCTACAAGGCAAGGTAAATCAATGAAATGGTTTCCCGACACTCTAGGTATAATCTATCCTGTCTCACCCGATCACTCAAGTTCGATTGGTTAAAGACTATCATTGAACGTCGATAAACGCTACAAGGCAATACCACTAGCTGGTACGCGATTAACAAATACAATTTGTCAATACGTAATATCCAATCAACCAACTTCACAATAAACGTAACAATAGTAGAAATTAAATTAAATCCGAACACAACTCAATTACAATCGATGCGAAGTAATGAAAAGCAATATTAATCATTTAATTATTCCAAACCAAAGTTTATCATTCAGCAAGTTCTATGAAAACATTAAATCATAATGGACAACAATATTCATCACAAGTTATGCTCAAATCATATTAAAGTATCGAAATCAATCATGAAACAAAAACAAATATAATATGAAGCACAATACTACCAAATGTCCTACAATCGGGCTCATCCAACTAGTCGAGAGCTGATGAGGAGAGTCGTGGAGTCAATCCCGATCTCGCCTATGCCGTAACAGACAACCGGGAGCTTAGTCGCTCATGGTGGTGATGATGGAGGCCGAAACGGTGGAAACGAAGCTGATCATGGCGGAGAGGAGGCAACCGACAACGATATGATGCGAAGAAGGGGCGAAAACGACCAACGGACAGCCCGGAATATGAACAGCCGCACTTTGCCGGAAAATGTTAATTTTCCGACGAGTCTCTGGAAAACGGTGGCGGAAATGGGATCCGAAGGTACCGATGGAAAGCTCTGGTGATGGGGAGTTCAGATCAGGTCCTGGGGAGGTGAGAAGTCACCAGAAATGAGCAGGATCTGGCCTAGAAGATGAAGAGGCACGGCGGCAAAATCGCGGATTCCTGCGGTTTTCGCGGTGGCTGAAGCTAGGGAAGTGTAGATCCGGCTGTGGGGAAGGGAGATCGACCCTTGGGGAGCTGGAACGTCACCGAAAAACAGCCAAAACTGGCCGAGAAGATGAAGAGTCGCAGTGGGAAGATGAAACGTCGCGGTGGGAAGCTTGGTTCACGGTGGTGATGAAGGGATGATGGTGACCGGAGCAAGGGGAAGCCGAATCGTCGCTGGAAAAGGAGATGAAGGGTCACCGGAGCTTGATCGGAGAAGGTGAAGGGTCGCCAGAAAATGATAATGAACAGCCCCCATGGAAAACGCGATCTGCATTTTTCTTTTATAGAACAATTTGTAAAATATCAATTTAGTCCTTACACAATTGAAAAGTGACAAAATCAGCCCCTTAAAACATGACATTTTACCCCCTCAACAGCATAAATGAGACAAAATCACCCTTAATCCATAAACCACAACCTAATATCAACTCATATACTTTCCAAAATCATTCCAAACACGTTAAATTCATAAGAAAAATATTAGGAAGCGATTTTCGTGAATAAATTCATAAATTCTTTAATTATCTCAATATACTTCAATTTAATCACACATGGGGTATTTTTATCACCAAAATAGAGTCACTTTCATGACTCTAATAGGTTGGTCGAGTGACACGTGATTTCACAAACATGCAGATGTAGCTAGTGCACTAGTCGCAAAAAATAATAAAGTGATAAGTAGAGTATCATTCCTACGAGGATAGTGCCAATTTCTTAAGTTTAAGTCCTAATTGAGGCAACCATAAATTGGATTGATGGAAAATTAACAAACTAAAAACAAATTAACAAAATATAAATAAATGATAATGAAATTAAAGCAAAACCCAACAACTTAACTAATTAAACAATGCTAAAATATGCTAGGGTGTTGATTTCACCTAGATACGCTAACCCAAATTGTAGAATCTATTACCCAAGTTCTAATTCCTTTATTGAAAATCAAATTCCCTAAGTTGTTTGGTACTCCTTCTCTAGTTATACCACCCCACCCCACCCCACCTATTCCTATTAACCTTCCGAACCCAAAAAGTTAAGTTTAATAGTTCAAGGTCTCTTAAGCTTTCTAGAGTTCTATTTAGATTTCATAAATTGCGTTTATCTATCTCTAGTTTTCGCTCAATCTATTGTATTTATCCCAAGAGGCATATATCACAAATCACTTCTTACTTCTTAGTCTCATTGTGAACAACATATATTTGAATGGTGATCAAGCATCCAAAAGTCATTAAGCAAAGAGATAAATACTCAATCATGAAATTAAAACATAAAGTAAATCAATTCATATAAATTTGAATCATTGTATCATGGTTACATCAAACCCTAGCTAAACAACTCAATTCATACTAGAAAACAAAACAAAACAACAAAAACAAACTGAATCAAGGTTCATCATTGAAAAACAAGCAAAGATGGAGAAATCTTCTCTAATTTGAAGCCCAAATCTTCAATAATCTTCTCATTCCAAGAGTTGCCTCCAAATGACTAACCAAGATCCTTTTCCCTTCCATTTCGTGCTAATTTATACCTCTCTCATTTAAGGATGAAACCCTAGTAAGCCAAACTGTGTTGTTTTTTTTTTCACATATGACGTAGTTTCGCAGCAGTGATGATTTTTCTTTGCCGCAGCAAAGATTGTTTGGGCCCAATTTGAGCATGATAAAGTCTGAATCTGGAAAAGTGGTAAACATAATAATTGTATATCATTCAATTAAATTTCTACTCGTTCAAGAATCATCCCAATCCGAGGTCTACATCTCAAGTTATGGCTAAAATACTGAAGCACATCTAAAGAAGTTTTTCTTAATTTCCCAATGTGCTATTCACGACTTCAAGCCAAGTTTTCACCTTCTTGCAGTAAGAATTAGGAAAAACACAAAGCATGAAAATTGTATCTCTGCTTCTTAGGTTTCCATAACTTCTAAATTTAGGTCATTATAAGTTTCCAACCTCAAGTTACACAATTTATGCTCAAAATAATCGTTTAGGCTTGCAAAAAAAAAATTAATAGAATTAAGTAGCAATTATGGCCTAAATTGTATGAGAAGTATCCTAAATCCTATTGAAATTCAATGCAAAATCATAGAGAAAAATAGGATTATCAACGAGCAAACTCCTTCTAACTCAGGTTGGTCAACCAAACTCCTCCCAACTTAGGTTGGTCGAGCGAACTTTCACATTCCAAACAACGGTCCATCCGACCTGACAAGCTGCTAGCACTAATCTGCTCAGTCTGCACTCATTTGATTAAATCTACTCTCTAAGCTAAATTTAACTTAGAGAGTGGGGGCCTAATTATATGGGCAAAAAATCGTCTTAGGTCTAACGAGACCCAATAATGAAATAAACATTTCATGGCCCAAGGCCTTAGCCTAACCCTAGTTGAGCCTACGCTTAAAGTCACCTTGTGAACTGCCCACTCTATGAGCTGGACTGTACTACAAGTTAAGCTAAATTGGGTTCCGACCCATAACCTATAATAGTCCATAAATAAAAAATTAGAATCCTATTATATTTCCTCTTCTGATAGGATTCTGAATCTTACTCAAACTAGTAAATCTAATCTGATAAGGACAAGAAATCATTTTTCTTTCCTGAAAGGGATTACCTCCCAAAGTAGGGCTCAGTGTCCTACTAGGAGTCCAACCCTTTGGTTTCACTATATAAACAGAAGCCTGCCCTCTCATAATTCATTCAAGCTCCATTCCTTAAAACCACCTATTTGCTCATAAGTTTTTGCTCTCGGGAACCTAATGCCTTCGCCATAGTCCTGGTCTCCGACAAAACTCATAATAATCCATCTTTCCATTAATTCTTATTAAATAGTTCTTTTAGCCTTACTGACTTGAGCGTCAAAGTATCTACGACAAACATTACCCCATTGTTTCCTGTAAGCTTCATGCTTGTCTCTTCGTATGTGCAGGTCTGGTGGATTATTAGTGGCCTCAACCTCACAGGATCCATCCTTTCTGTAACCGTAGATTTTTAGCGTCTACATTGAGTAAGAACTTATATTCATGGGAAAATTATGCAAATCACCCTAGGGTTTGTGTTTGTATCACTAGGATGAAAACTTTCCCAATTTTTGTCATACTTTTTTACCTTGGACTTTTGATATTGTACCACAAACACCCTCAGGGCTAACTCCGTAATCTAGAAGTTAGAGTCAGAAGGTTAAAAGAGCAAATTTTAAAACTTACAAACATTTTGGTAAGCATATCTAAATAATGAATAAATAAATTTATAATATTAAAAAATACCTAGGGGCGTTTGGTTCAATGTTGGATTACTGGGAATATTGGATTAGTGGAAAGTTAGATTACCTTGAAGATTACTGAAAATTTTTAGGAAAATGCGTTTGGTTAATTGGTGGGTATGTTATATTAATATGTTTGGTTGAGAGGAATAAATTGGTGGGTATGTTATTTAAACTACTGAATTGTCCTCTAATTAAAAATTATTATTATATTATTTTTTAATATTGATTATTATTTGGATTATTATAACCCCCCTGCATTTAAAAACTTAGCAAAAACAACCCCATAATAAAAGTTTAGAAAATCAACAAAGCACCCCCACCAACCCAACCACTGCCGGCCGTTGCAACCACTACAGGCCGTCGGCAGTCGACAACCTAACAGCACATGAAAGACAGGAAATGGCCAGGCGTGACAAATCTAGCTATCGACAGCCAAATATGTTGATTTGGTAGTCAACGACTAGATCGATGGCCATTAGCGGCCATAGACATGGTCGTTAACAGCCATTGATCTGGGAAAAATTGGCCATATCGGTGCATGACGACCATTTTCGGCATTCCATGCGTCATTCCGGGTACAATTGGCTGCGACGGTGGTTGCTGGCGATAGGTGGTAGTAGGTGGGTGGGGGTGGCGGCTTGGGTAGGCTATAATTTGTTTTGAATTCAAGGGTAATTTTGTCCAAAAAGTTAATTAATTGGGATGAAAAAGTAAAATACATATTTATGCAAATAAATTTAAAAATAAGAGCATTATTGTCCTAAAATTTTATTAATAAGGGATTGAATTGTAACAAAAAAAAATAACTCTGGTAATCTTAAAATACTTAAGAAAATAGAGGTATTCAGATTACCTCTAATATTACCAATAGTAGCCACTATTGGTATTTGAAGATTACCAGTATCTTATATTACTTAACAACTAAACATGGTAATCAAGTAATATAAAATAATTTAACCCTAGTAATCCTATATAACCCCCAACCAAATGCCCCTTAGGGACAAAATAGTAGTTATATTAGTCATTTGTCTTATTCTATTAATTTCCACATGTTCAATAACATAATTTGAGGTGTTTTTGTCATTAAATTCTTTGATTCTAACTTCTAGGTAACAGAATCAACGCCAGAGAGTGTTAATGATACATCATTAAATGTCTAAGATTCTAATATGATAAGAAATATATATTTATTTATTAAAAATTTTACACGATTGCAATTGTGGCTGCATCCAAACACTACAACTGTCATGTTTTCTTTACACTTTTTCCTGCTTTTTTTTTTAATCATTTTCTGATATTTTAATTTGATTTTGTAGAATCTCAATATAACAATTTGTTAATATTATATATTCAAAAATTTTATATTGAAAACTATTAAATTTACGGTGCGTTGTTTACCTTTTCTTGCCTATTAGTTCATTTTATTGCATTATATATATATATATATATAAAATTTGTGTTAGTTTTATGACATTTTACCCAGGAAACCAGGAGAGATGGGCCTAGGGTGTAATCCTGTTGAGTTTTGAGGTAAACGAGTTAGGCTCGATTTGAACACTGTTGAGTTCAAGCTTGACAAGCCCCGCAAAATGCGCTCAAGCTCGAGCTCGTTAAACGAGCTTGAGCCACTCATTTATGATGGTGAGAGTGGCCGGTGCAATTTCTTAAGCAGGTGGTGGGCAAGGTGAAAATGGCTAATTCTACCGGTAAAGTCAATCACAAAATCCAGTTCAACACTTCCAAATCAGAACTCCAAAACAACAACTTCTCCAATAAAATTTCACACCAGATCCTAAAACACATAGCAAACCATAAATTGAACACTTAAAAAAAAAGATAAAGAGTTTGAAAAACAGATTGAACATTACATGAATTAGCAACGCCAAGAAGAATTTTTAAACGAAAAAATCATTTATTTTTTATTTTTTTCTCTTTAAAAAAAAAAAAAAAAACTTTCATTTCAAATCAGAATTTTTAATCCAAAATTGTAAACGAAAAATTAACTATTGATATATTAAAGAAAAGTTTTTGAGATGAGTTGATTTGAAATGTTTTTTTATCGATTATTGAAGTGATAAATTTCGTGTTTTTCATTCTTTTCTTAGTGTTTTCAAACAATATTTCGAAAGATGTTTTCATTTTATATATTTTCAAATATTATCTTTACACAAACACGTCACATGAATTTTTATTTTTCGCCTATACTATTCATTTTCAATACATTCAAAAAAAAAAAAAAAAAAATTAATACGCAAAATTCATATAAAAATAAACCTTATCTTTACGTATGTATTAACTTAAAATACCCTTTGCACCTAAGATTCTTATATTCATTCGCATTGAAAATTAAATTAAAATTAGAAAAAATAATGAAATTTCTCCTAACGATTATTATTTTCCAAAAGAAAAAAATATCTTTGAAAAGCTAATGAAATTTCTCATCACGAAAATCAATGGCATTAACCCTATATTTTAAATGAATCTAAAGACCAGGCTTTTTTGAATGCCTTCTAGAACTAGAGATGACAATGGACCTAGTATTCCTAGGTACATGGCCTGTCCATCTTGAAAATGTCAAGATTTACCTAATGTTAGTGGGCTTTGGTTTGGGCCTGAGACTGATTTTAAGGTCTGCCCTCGGGTATGAGCCGGATATGAGTATCTCTTCAGTCTTGTCCCAGCCTAGTCTAACCTGATAATTTTATTAAATTACCTTTACACTATATATCTAATTACAGAATTATCCTACATATATATAAAAAAAATAAAATTTATTAATATTTGGTGAGTATTAAAAAATAAATTAATATTTAAAATCTGTTTCTAGAATTAAATATATAAAAAAAATTGAAATTTATTAATATTTAAAAATTCACATTATAAATATGGATAGGCTTGGGTTGGGACTGAGATTACAAAAAGCTCGTTGGGCCGGGTTTAGGCTTTACCTGTCATCCACGTGATGGGCTCGGGCAAGGATTGAGCCTTTATCATGGGGTTGGGCTTGGGCATGGGCCAAGGGGTACTCGGTCTCGGATCGGCCCGTTGCCATTTCTACCTAGGACCTAGGTTTAACCCAAACAAGTCCGACTCGGGTATTTATGTCCCTAATTTTCTAATACCTCAAATATCTTTAAGTATCTATTAGCTTAAAATACCCTTTACAACCCAAGATTCTTATTTTGATTCGAATTGAAAATTATAATAAAATGAGAAAAACTAATATACATATAAAAGAGAAATCCCTCATCTAACTATTTTTTTTTTTATTAAGAAATATTCTCATATATAATCATTCTTACTAATTTTAATTTCCAAAATATCACAGTTTTGTTTTAAGAACGTATTTATTTATAAGATCATACAACTTAACCTAATTGTCCTTAACGAAAATTAACAAGGATAAAATAACCAAATGGGCCAGGTTATCAAGTTTATCACCATCTAGCATGGTCAAGTATGGTATAACATGTTTTAATTGGATTGTCAAACTATATTATTAAATCCTAGATTATCAAGTTCTGTATAATTTAGCATTATCTAATGAAAATGTACCATTTGTTATATATGCATGCAGCTGAAAATGGCACTCATTCCAATTCTCCTAAATCTTACATGCATTACATTTTTTAAGCTGAATTGACCCTGCAATTTTTGCTCTTTCAAAGGCATGACCATCAACACTTAAGACCTTTCCCTTTTGTAAGTAATTTTTTATAAAACATAAAATAACACCAACACAATCAAGCTAACATAGCAAGAGAGGGACGACGAACCTTGTCGTCACGTTATTTCTTCTCACCAATAAACTAATAAATAACAAATCTTTATATAGAAATTATAAAACTGTTAATTCATCAATTAAATCAAACACTAATCCAATAGATAACGCACTAACGAAACTTTTAGTAAAACTGATATGTTTGATTTATTTTCCAATACAGTTTCCATTTTTCCTCTTCATTCAATGCAACCATTAATATTACCTCTCTCTCTTTCTATATCAACTCCTCAACAGAATTGTCTTTTCATGCATTCAGTCTCTCTTTTTCTTCAAAAATATCAGCCATGGCTTTGGGAATGTTCACTAGGGAAAAATATGCTTGGGTTTTTTTGAATTTGTTTTTTCAACTTAGAACGGTTAAAAATTGTCAAGAATTGAGACTGCGACTATCAAGAAAAAAATAATACAATTTATTTTTGACCAAATCCTGACAGTTAATAACTTTCAAGAATCATCGAAAATAGTTAATGATTATTTCAAATTCTTGACAGTTCATAAACTATCAAGAATTTGTCAAGAATTACAATTCTTGACATGTTTCTAGAACTCAAGAAAATCTTTTAACTCATTCTGTCAAAAAAGGAGATTTTTCAGTAGTGGGAATTCCACAGCGGCAAAGTAGACATAGCTCTCATACGGAGAGTAAACAATTATAAATCTTGTGTTTGTATGTGTAGTTATTTGTTTACCCTTTGTTCAAATTATTTTCATTTTCATAGGGATTTAGGATTTGCTAGCATCTAATTAAATCCCCACAACAGATTGAAACTAACACTCATGTCCTTTGGTGAGAGTTAGGCACTTCTTTATGTGATCATCAATGACCTTTCCACATGTAACAACGCATCGATGGACAAATGCAAAAAATTTGTAGTCTCAAAGGAACCCAAGGACGTTATTTTTAAACATACAATATGTAGATTATATCACATATACCATTCTCGAAATAATTAGGTCACACACTTATAAATGCCTCCAATCAGATAATATCTGCAAAGCATGAATTATTAATGAAGATACCTCGGGTGAATCATTCATAATGTTAATAATAACACAATACAGTTCAAATCCTTAAATTTTGCATTTCATGACATGATCACCCTTATTCTCCTGGAAACAAGAACATACCGGAAAAAACATGTTATTTAATTTCTGGCAATGGAATGGGTTGAAAGAGTGATGAAAACATAACATCCTTAATCTCTTGACCTCCACCACCATGCCCATCTCCGCGACGATAAATGTAATGGGAAGTTCTCACAAGATTTATGATCATTTCAACAATAGGTTGAGGTAAGGGACAATTCGTTGCAGCTCTGTATACATTTATCTTCTTCCATATCTTCCTTGTTAGATCCTTAATGTATTCACGAGCAACTTCCTCGGAACAACCAGTATCATTCATGTAACATTGGATTGCTTTAGGTACATCACCTCTCTTCATCTCATCCTGATTTATTTGTTGAAAGAAACACGACCAATTAATTCATATAGAATTTAAATTAAAGTATATAAAAACAATTGTAAATAAATTAATGCTAGATTTTATACCGGTGAAGTTCCCAAATCATCTTGAAGTCGGAAAGCCGTGGATGACCATTTTATAATATCCGGATTGCTTTCTAGATATTCTAAGTCCTTCTCTAATATCGGATTTGCTGACGATATATATGACAGAGTTGCCATAATAGGACCCGTAATTGATACATAAGCATTATTCAAATATTCATCTAGCGTTGGCTTATACTGATAGTGGTACCATCTTGCCTCTGTTATTTGGGCTTGCGCCATATTTTTCCACTGATGTAAATGACATAGCGACAAGTAGTGAGATATTTAAACAACAAAACATTATAAAAATAGAGGAAGAAACGAATTAAATAATATTACCATTTTGATTAGAGTCATTGAGACGTCTGAATTCTTTTCTTTGAGAATGTGATAAGCCACTTCATTAACAAAGTTGAACAGCGAGAGAAAACTTGTTTTCATGTAACTGGGAAGCTGTTTCATTGCTTTAATGTCCCATCTGAAATACATGTGTAATATAAAAGCAACATATAATTTTTCCTTAGAACTGCTAGGTTTGTATAACAAGAAAATTTTGCCCAACAATTACCTCGTAATAGCATCAGTCAAGAGCTCTAGTTCAGGCAAGGTACCATAAACATCATAAATATCGTCAATTACTGTAATTAGAGCAATGGCCTTTGCAACGAACATTAAGCAGTAAGAGTACTGAGGTTGAAAAGCTATACCCAAACCCCATAAATATGCTGTTATCAAGCTGTTCCTAGCAAAAGTTAACTCTCGAAGACCAGTATTCTCCCACCACCTTCACAAGCAAAAGAGAAACATATCAACTTGACTTTTACGTGTCAACACCATTTATTAATTAATTATAAGTTAGTTACTCACTTATTTGCGTTATTTTATAATCAATGTTGTAATGAAACATAAACAGTTGCATTAGTTGGGATGCAAAAGGTACAATTTCAATAAGTGTTTCATTAATAAGGGCTATGCAATCACGAGGACAAAAAGTTGAGAAAGGGTTACTGACCTCAATGTGTCTTTAAGATCTTCCTGATGAATTCCCTGTAAAATATTAAAGTCAACCTTTGCAAGCTCGAGTAGAAGGTGATTCTTGTCTTCCCTTCTCTCATATGAATCTATGAACCATTTGGTCTCTAGTCGTGGCGCCCACCAATGAAGAGGAAGCTCCAAGGCATGCTCAACAAGCGGTACAAGATTCTGGTCGACATCCTTATAATCAAGATCTTTAAGATGTTTAGAACTGAATTCCCATGCCTCCTGCATCATACTTTCTCCTTCTAACCCATAGAATGAGGCTTCATAAAAGCTCAGTATTGCCTTCACATCATCACAGACACACGCCGAGAAACTGCCCGTCTTGTCCCTGAAACTCTCAAAAACTTCTGCACTCACAAGGAAAGTAGAACAAACATATTAGTTTATTCTAATGATGACTACTTTTTTCGAACTTTAATTCTTCAGTACCTTCAGTAACATAATAGCCGTGTTTTCTCAGGAGTCTAAACTCTAGAGAGGTTGCATATAGATTTCCTTTCTTCCATTTATGATCGCTGATATTGTGGACACGGTCCAACATGTTCTTTATTTCACGTTCAAAACGGTGAGCCACTCCAAGTCTTTGTAAGTTGTCAATCAGCTCAAGCTGATCCAATGGGTTGTCCATACTATTGATTATCATCCTCACTTCTTCTGTCAGCTTTTCTGCTTTTTTTCTGTATGCTTCTCCCTGAAGAAAATTAAGTTTTTGGTAATTAGTTCCTGAACCTGAACTAATGAAATTCAGCAAAGAACAAATTAAGACCATAAAAAGGAAAAAAAGACCATGACTACCGTGTACTCATTAGTCAATTTTGGCAGATAATCTTCGTTAAAAATGCAAGGTTTGTAGTTTCCTGATCGCCTTACAACAGTTGAAGTACTAAGTTCTGGGTTAGCGATGCAATGGAGTTGCTTCTTCACACTGATTCTGCTGGTTGGTGTTTTAGAAACAAGTAGTTGACGGTGTTGAAAAATAGCACCAGAAGGAATATTACAGGTTGATGCAATACAAAAAGCCATTAGTAATTTGTGAAGTTCACTCTGTCATAAACTTGAGACATGCAAGCTGATATTTATAGACGAGTTAAGAGGTCACCAGAAAGTTTTTCGCGCGAAAGAATTTTATAAAATTGCCATTTTAGCCCAAAAACTTTATACAATTGCAATTTGTGAAACTCTAGAAAAGGAGTTGACGCTGCTCACCAATTTTTGAAAATTCTCCCTCCTCATAATTGCTTCATTTAAAAATCATTTATCTTCTCCTCATTTTCAGTCTTCTCTGTATAATATTCTATTTTCTTTTTTTTTTTTTTTTTTTTTTCTAGAAGGACGATTGCAACCACACACACAATTATTTCATACAAAAATCATTTATCTTTCTTCTCATTTTCAGCCTTCTCTGTCTAATACTCTTTTTTTAACCTAGAAGGACAAGTAGAGATGGGCGTTTGCAATCACATCACAGTTATTTCATGGGCGTTTCAATCACATCACAGTTATTTCATATAAAAATCAGTTATCTTCTCCGTCTAATAGGTTTTTTTTTTTTTTTCTTCTTCTTCTTCTAGGAGGACGAGTAGAGATGCACTACAACATTGTACACATGGGCTGCCAAAATTAGATACAAAAGGAAAACGGTTACAAATGCATATTTACAACTACAAAAGTGAATATTTATAGCTAATTGAAATAATTTTAGTGATAATCCTCTCTCGAAGCTAATATTCATCTTTTGTTTTAACTTATTAAAATCGTAACAATAATTAATCATTTATTTATAATAAATTAGCTATGGTAAAACATTATAGCTAATTAATGTATTTAGTTGTAAACTGATGAACAACCCAGAGGACTGGTATACCATAGGAAGGGCAAGAGGGTAAAAAAGTAGAGGAATAAGTAAAAAGGTTGGAGTTTGTTAGAAAGGACGGAGTTTGTTAGAAAGGACAGATGGCTTGACAAGAGCAAAAATAGGAATTCGGTTAGAAGTACAAAAGGTGTCAGGAATGAAAAAAAAGGGGAGGAGAGAAAAAGAGGAATCAAGCAGAAAATAGTTAATTTGGCAGGGAGGCAACTGACCCTCGAAGTCAATATTCTGGGAGGTGACTGACCCTCGAAGTCAGCCTTTAGTACCATTTCTTTTATTGCACTTGCTGTGTTTATTTAGTACATTTGCTTAGTGAGTACTGATAGGGCAAGGCTACTGGAATTATTGTTCTAGTTGTAGTGTTCTGTGCAAATATTAATAGAATTGGGCATTTTATTGTTGATTGTGAGTGACTGGTTGTGTGTTGTGGTATATTCTGTGGTATTGCTGGTGTTTTTGCAGGACAGGTTCTATCAATTGGTATCAGAGCACTGTCGTCTGGGTAATGGTCTTGACAAGGATGGATTCAAGAATGGATAATGTTGAGAGAGAGGTTACGAAGTTGGGGGTTGAAATGGGTACAATCAGAGAATGTTTAATGGAGTTGCAGTCTTGGGTGCGACGGAAAGATGAGGAAGAAGCTGGCAGGGCTGAGATACGGTCAGCAGAGAATATACAGTCTCACCAAGAAGGAAACCCAAATGGAGCCAGTGGGTCTGGGAACGATGCGTCAAGCCGTAGTGAAATGGGGGGGCTAGTGATGGCAATGGGCTGGGCCGAGACCGGGTACCCCTTGGCCCAGGCCCAAGCCCGACCTCATGACACATGCCCAAGCCCGCTACGGGTATGATAGGCAAAGCCCAAGCCTGGCCTGACGGGTTTTTTATAACCATAGGCCCGGCCCAAGCCCGCCTTTTTTAATAATGTTTATTTTTAAATATTAATAAATTTCAATTTTTTTTATTTTTAATTTTAGAAATAGTTTTTAAATATTAATTGAAGCTATTTCCGCAAATAATTTAAGCAATAATTGAGCAATTAAAACTCCATAATATTTGATTATACTAACTTTTTAGCTGTGCATAATATGTTATGGTGAAATCCACTTTTATAAGTTGAACCAAACCCATCTAACTCATTTAAAGGCAATTTTAACATGTTAAACCTTCAATATGGGATAAAAATTGAGGTTAGGGTTTGGGAAAAATAGATATATATAGGATAATATTGTAATTAAATATATAGTATAAGGGTAAATTAGTAAAATTAATACTAAAATTTTCGGAACGGGCCAGGCCGGGCCGGGCCTAAAGATGTACTTATGCCCAGCCCGTACCCGAGATCGGGTCTTAAAATCAAGCCCAGACCCAAACCCAAACCCGTCAACCTCGGGTAAAGCCCGCCCCTTTCGGGCCCCTTGTGAAACTCTAAAAAAGGAGTTGATACTGCTCACTAATTTTTGAAAATTCTCCCTCCTCATAATTGCTTCATATAAAAATCATTTTTCTTCTTCTCATTTTCAGTCTTCTCTGTCCAATAGTCTTCTTTTTTTTAGAAGGACGATTGCAATCACATACACAATTATTTCATATAAGAATCATTTATCTTTCTACTCATTTTCAGTCTTCTCCGTCTAATAGTCTTTTTTTTTTTTTAGAAGGACAGGTGGAGATGGGCGTTTGTAGTCACATACCCACATACACAGTTATTTCATATAAAAATCATCCATCTTTTTTCATTTTCAGTCTTCTCTGTCTAATAGTCTTTCTTTTCTTCTTTTTCTTTTCCATGAGGACGAGTAGAGATGCACTATAACATTAGAGATGCGCTATAACATTATACATATAGTTACAAAAATTAGCTAGAGAAACAAAAATTGTTGTAAATATATATTTACAGCTATAAAAATTAATATTTATAGCTAATTTAAATAATTTCAGTGATAAGATTTCTATCTCTCAAAGCTAATATTCATTTTTTATTTTAATTTATTAAAATTGTGGTAATAATTAATTATTTAGCTATAATATATTAACTATGGTAAAACATTATAGTTAATTAATGTATTTAGCTGTAAACATTTTATTTACATGACATATAGTATCATTATTAGTTACGAGTTTAAATATATAACTATTATTTGTGCATTAGTTATAAAATATTGAAATTTGTAGCTAATTAAAATATCTAACTACACAAATTTTATTTTCATGGTAGTAATAATATTATAGTATCATTATTAGCCACTAGTTTAAATATATAGCTAGTATGTGTGTATTAACTATAAATTATTTGAATTTATAGCAAATAAAGAACATGAAAATTAATTTACTACCATCCTTATAGTATGCAATTATAGATATTCTAATTTATCTCGTGAGTAATTATATTTTTATTACTTACGAATTAAATAGTTATAATCAAACATAGTGTTAATCATACCGCTAAGGTCTATAGTAAATTGGAACCTTTAACCAATCGCTAACTTAAAAGAATTCTTCAACGAGCTAAGAGTGTGGGCTTTTGTAAAATAAAATTTTATTTTAAAGGATCTCTGAGGTTTTTTTATTTTCTATGATAATTTAAAACTAACATTTTATGAAATATAGATGATTTTAAGTATGAAATATGAGATATTATAAAAATTGTTAATGTTACATATTTGTACATATTAACTTGTATGTATGTTTTAGGTGATGATGATAGAGTTAATAATACTATTAATATTTGAGAATGACAAGCATTTGTTTATTATTAATTATACATAGAAAATGCAAGAAAATAGAAAAAACAAATTAAATCATATAAAATACGGTTAAAATTATAGGAGATATGATATAAATTAAATCATATAAAATACTGCAAAATTACCTTCCTACAAGCTTTTTTATTGTTTATGTGTTTGATTTAATACTTTCATAAAATTTTTTATACAATGGTACAAGACTATTGTAAAAGAATAAAGTAAGAAGAAGAGATTAAGAATGATGGAGTAACAAATGTCAGCGACTGTAGATGACAATAACAACAATTGGAAAATCAACAGCAACCGCAAATTACATGATTAGCTTTTAGTTACGCCACTTCTAGTTACAATAAACTACAAAGCATTGCATTTGTAACTAAACTATTTAACTATGCAAATTCATATTTTTAGCGATAATGATCGCTACGGCTAAAAATACATAATTATGTTGTGATGAGCGTTTGCAATCAGATACACAGTTATTTCATATAACAATCATTTATCTTTCTTCTCATTTTCAGTCTTCTCTGTCTAATAATTTTTTTTTTTTTTTTTGGGGGAACGATTAGTAGAGATGGGCATTTGCAATCACATACACAGTTATTTCATATAAAAATCATTTTTCTTTCTTCTCATTTTCAGTCCTCTCTGTCCAATAGTCTTTTTTTTTTTTACCCTTTTCTGGAACGACGAATAGAGATGGGCGTTTGCAAATTGCAATCACATACACAGTTATAACTACAAACATTGTTGAATGTGTTATAACTACAAACATTGTTGACTGTGCAAGACAAGCTTCAGCTCAAGCAAAACAAAATGATTTAGGCGCCAAAATGTATCAACACGTTTTTGTTCTCTTTCAACAAACTACAAGTGGATTGAAGACTATTATGCAAGTTGACAAGTTGCAGAGTAGGTTGTTACGCAAATTGACAAGTTGCAATGCAACTTACAGTGGGAAAACAAATCAAATGGTTAGAATGAATTGTTGTTGTGTTTGTTCAACCAAGATTGAACGGCTGAGATAAGTGTTGCCAAGGATCAACCTTGTTTCTTCTCTGTATAAATTGAAAACGTGAGGACAGTTAGTTCTAAGGAAAAATACAATAATTTCAGCTCAATTTTTTTTGCTTTTCTTTACTCTCTGTTTCTGTTCAGAGTTGCCGTAAACTTTTCATGGTATCAGAGCTTGTTTGACAAACATCAAATGGTTGATCCTAAGTCTTCTGCTTCAACTTACATCAATACTGATGGGAAGGTTTCAAGCTCAGTCTCATCTTTTCCTCTAGCCAATGCACTTCCAAATGTTACGGTAAAGTTGGGAGAGAAGAACTATGCTTATTGGAAATCACTAGTGCTTCCTGCGTTAAAAGCCTATGAACTTGAAGGTTTTGTTATAGGTGATAA